CCATCAGACATTGCAAGGCATCTCGTAAATGTGTTCTATTTACAATGTTTTGATATATATTGGAGTGGACGGAGTGGAGAGCAGAAGACACATTAAATAATGCAAAAGTCTTGAGCTTAGCCTTGAAAATGGGGCAGGGAGCCATTAGCACGGATGATGGGGGGGGGGGGAATTCCAGACTTCGGGGGGGGGGGGAGGGTAAATTCCAGACTGCCGGCGGCAGCAGAGAAGCAGCGACCCATTCCACTGAGCACTCGAGAGTTGAAATGAAAGTTTAGAAAGAGCACGTGGCAGTATAGAGCGAGATGAGAGTGGAGAGCTATGTTGGGGATGAGTCAACGGAGGATCTTGAAGACTGCACGGGCCAACTTGTAAGTTGATTCAGGCGCGTTGCACAATGATCTACAGGATGCGCTTAAAACAGAATTCTACAATGGGCCAGATGGGTCAGATGAGATCTCATGAAGAGTCTAAAAATCACAAAATTCACGTATACTGGAGGAATCCGATGAGCTATAAAGCTCTTTTTCACAGATATCCAATCTGTGTCGGATGAAACCCAGCCTGACAACTGTGAGCCCAACAGAAGTGTGTCCGAAAAAGGGCTCCACGGTGGTGAGGTGTTAGCTATCTCGCCTGGTATACGGGAGGTCGCGGATTAGATACCGATCCTGACCCCTGTATATTTAGAGTTTGCATGTTCTCGTGGTCGCATGGCAAAAAAAAATATGAAATGCAGTCATGATTGGTCGGCCGCGATAGGTCTCTATGAGATGTCGATTGACGGTTGGTTGACTGAATTGTAATATTTTTAAACTCATAAAAATCTAAACATTCGTCTTGTGCGGCTAAATGGGCTCGTGCACCACTGTCAACGCAGCATCACTAAATAATTTGTTTTAAACACAACCTATCACGACTGATGTATGGAGAGAGTGTCGAGTATTGACATTTTTTCATCATTGAAAAGAGTTTCCATTATTTGCCGTTAGGATATCACTAAATGAAGCTCTGAAAGACGTTTGTCAGGCATTCCGTTTTTTTTTGTTTTTAAACTCGAGAGCCACAGGATTCCTGTGTACACGGTCGCGCTGGCGAGCCGGCGCCAAAGTCGGGGTTTGATAATAAAATTAAATAAATCACCTTCCGTTTTGTCTCTCCTACTTTAGAGGGAGAAATGTTATTCGGCCTATCGACCTACGGCACTCGGCTTCCAGGCTCACGCTAAAGCAGCGGCTTTTTTTTTTGTTCAACACGCAGCGGGATTCACTCGTGTGGCCACTCATCGGCAGTCAGACATCCTGCTGGTTAACCCACCGTTATTGGTAAGGGCCCTCACTCTGCACGATGAGAGCCTTGAGCCTTTCACAGACGAAACAAAAAAAATCTACATCTCACAGAGCCCTATAACAGGGTGCTTTAAAAAAGAATTTTAATACTCCTGAGAATTTGCAACAATACCACGAAGAAATGTGCTGCCTCCGGGCTCTGGAGATCACCTGGAGAAGACTTCAGGCCACGTGTTGACAACGACGGCGAACAAGTGGAAACTCTTTCACTTTTTTAAAGCTATCAACATTACAATTGTTATTATGTTACAGTGTATTATCCGTTCTTTTTCCGTTAAAAACGATCGTCCCATGTAAGTGTTAACATTGTTTTGAAGCACCCTGTATAGTAGTTATTGCATTTTAGGTAATACCTTAAATACATCACCTTCAGTTACGTATGTATATCCAGGTGGCACATTCATTATGGTGAGTCCACACCGGGACCGGACTTATGTGAACCAAAAGCATTTGTATACACACGCAAACTGGACCGAATCCAGCCAAAGCAAGGGTTGCTGTCAGTATAACCATATTCTCTCAAGAAAGTTAATATGTTGAAACAACTGGAGCGTCCAAAGAACGCGCGTTCTTGCACGTGAAAGTACACATTTATTTCCAAATTATTCTTTGATTATGCTGCGTTGGCAGTGCTGCACAAGTACGAATAACAAGAAACGAATTTTCATCAATGCCACTGTCGTGTAACAAAGGATATACAATAGGCGACGTTTCGGGCAATGGTCCTTCTTCATTGCACAGAAGGGCCAGCACCTACGATACCTTTTACTGTTATTATTAACGAATGTTCTTAAACATATAATTATTTCCAAAGTTCGTTTAAAAAATAATTTCAGGATTATGATTTAGAACCAGCAAAAGCTTATATAACATAACCAATAAACTCAAAGTACGCAATCGGCAGGAATTGGTTTAACCACATTATGGTTAACACTTTACTCCTTCAGCTTTCTGGCCCTCGAAATGGAACTCAAATTAAGCGATGCTTTTGGCCCCAGAACCAGTGCGCCTTGCCGTGGACTAGAATGTCATTTAATGTTTACGTGCTGAAATAGACCTTTCATTCATTACTTATTTTACTGTCCACAATCCTCCAAGACAATGCATAATTTCGCGTGCATTTACACCAGCGCAGTGCATTACGAGTACGCCTACCTGAGTTCTATTCCGGGCCACGGCTAACATCAGTGACGAATAACATCTGAACAGGTTCTGCATCCATGCCTCCAACACCTCTCCCCTGCCCTCCCCGTATCATTGAATAGCACGGTTGGCTACGTACGCTGCGAAATAAGTTCTACATGCATACTCCCTCCCTTCACCAACCTGCACTGACCAGCGTGCTGAAGTATGACCGACACGGCATGGAGGCCTTCATCTGACAGTTGATTGACCAAGGGGTGTAAATTATTAGAACGGCAGCTTTAGTGGATTTTAAATGAACATTCATCTCCGAAGAATTAACAGTTTTTGCCAAGAGAACGGGCAGTAAAAATGTACAGGGAGTTCGAGGTAAATGTGTAACACATGCTTGCTTTCCATGATCTATTCCTAAGTTTGAATTCCAAACGTTATATTGTCATCACTGGGATGCCCGTCGTTGAAAGAATGCATTCATAATCCATGTGTTAACCCCCCCCCCCCCCCAAATGCATCGTCAATCAATCCCTATGACTGACACAACGTAGGGATGACTTCATCCAGCAGTGGCTTGACAAAGGACACGCGAAGTTTACGCTAGGGTTGTTGCATAACAACCGCAACATCGTTAAATGGTTTCAAAATCTATTACCGATTCAGGATCAGATAACCGCTTCCAGTGGAATGTGAGTCACAAAGAATGCTGCGATTGGCGGGCGGGCGCGCGCGCGCACAGATCGCACGGTGGCCTCAGTCACTGTGCCCTCGTTTCTCATTGCAGCGATAACGGTGCAGCCCTGGCAGCTCAATGCGAAGGTCTGAGACATCGCAGCGACGCACTCCGCTGATCCTGACGCGGGTTGTCCGGCTCGTCTGCCAGAATGTGAAATTGTCGTTGATGCTCTGCGTCGACATCTGTGGGGGAAAAAAGTTAAATTTGTTAAAACGAACATCATGGCCCATCGGATTCCTCCAGTGTAATAAAAGGATTCTGATTTTGAATCTGACATCAAACCGCGCTGCTTGCTCACGCCGCTACTGGCGAAAGGGCCTCCGCTAGAGGGAACTCTAAAGAGCATTTGGGCTCCTTTACACTATGCACGTACTGCGAGGATCTGTGGGTCAAGGTGGGACGGGGGTGTCATAAAGGTTCAGGATTGCAATTCATGTTTCAACTGTCGCGCAGGGATGTGAAAGTCCACTCGGCTACCTCGCGCTTTGAAAGCCCAGCGTGCTCACCAGTAACAAAGGCAGCAGAATTCTGGCGATTCTTTGTTTAAATACCAAATAATATATAAACAACTAAAAATGCTATGTTCATTGATCTAGACATTTCTGTATACAGTATGCGACAAACTGGTAACCCCGTTTTTACCGGTTTTAATTCGGTTTACGATCATGTAAAACAAGCATGTTCCCCTAAAGTGGCGTGGCGTGGTTGGCATTGGCCCTGGTGAAACAGGTTAATGATTGACGCGTCCCTCTCCAATTTTGCCACGAGTTCTGCACGCACGGAGCCTGGGTTCCTCCGGTACACGAGTCTAGGTGCAGGCTGCGAGACCTGCACACCCGATAACCACGCAGCTTTGCCCCCTGAGTCACTGGCAAGCTACCTTGGTCTCTTTGGCAATGATTGTCGACTTTACCGAAAGACAAAATGAATGTACATTAATAATGTTTGTGTGTTTAGACAACACATTTTTCTATTCCTCACTTCTTTCGCTCAACACATGTACACAGAAACCTGGTATTTTTATAATCATCTTGCAAACATTCACACATATTTTCGTTCGTGTGCTCACAACTAATAACGTATTATTAACTTGCTCTGCAGTGATATATTTGTTATTGTGTCAAATCACGTTGATATAAACCTAATTTTAAAATAATCACCTTGCAAATATTTCAATCATAGAGTTTGTGTGCGGACAACTAATATTTGTGTTCCTTGCTTCTTCCGCGAAACTCATGTGCATAGAAAGTATGTGCAAGTCGATGTGTGTGTCTGTCTTTTTCGCCCGGGCAACGCCGGGTACTTACCGCTAGTATAGATAATATACCGTCATTGAGCGACGTTTCAACACACACAAAAAACACCCGGTCAAGCCATCACCGTTATGCAAAACCACCAGTTCCGGAAGAAGTTCATTGTCGGGCGGTGGTGGCTATGCACGCCTGTAACCCAGCATGATGACACTGTTCACACCTTTTCTTTCGGACATTCACTATTTTACTCGTGATATTGAATTAAAAAATGAAGTTAAATAAACTAACCTCTTTAAAAACTTGCCCGACTCTAATATCTAAATGACTACCTTAAAAATCCTTATAGCGCCGTTTAAAAAAAATTAATGTTTATGTCCCGCCAATATTAATCAATTAATATCCCTGGTATTTAGAGATAGAAGTGAATGCGTGTTGTCACCAGGGTTGGGTGGAGGGGGGGGGCATCGGCTGAGTGAACCGCGGGCTCTAAAAAAAGTTTGAGAAACTCTGCGCTCTTAGGGGGCCTTTAATCTCCACGTTCCAGAGCCACGGGACTTCGGGCGGCAACAGCAGGCGGCGGTAGCGCGCTGCACGTGGCGTCCGCACAGGTGCGGGCACAGCCTGTCAGAGACACCTCCCCTGCCCCATCACCCCAGCTGGGCCGGTCTCTCGCGATTGTCCCAGGGGGTCGTCCCCCCCCCCTCTCTCTCTCCCCCGCTGTGCAGTGGGGCACACGAGTCGCGTGGAGGTGCTGTGTCCCCACGCACCGATCGCGTGAGGTCGCGGCACACAACAACAACAACTGCTGCTGTAAGGTGGCGGAGTGTTGGGTGTTGGTGGTGGGGGTGGAACAACCCCGGAAGTTTGGGGCTTCATCTGGACCACCCCCCACACACACACACTTTTGGTGACAGGATCGGTGGAGGGGGGGGGTCAGTTGCCGCTGGTGCGCGACAGTGGGTCACGCCGGTGGTGTCTCAAGTGACAAAACCACCGCGGCGACGTCAACAAAATCCGAGTCGAGATTGCGGACAGCGGGCGGGTGGGGTGGGGGGTTGGCAGATCGTCGTCGTCGACGAGGGCGACCGTTCCTGTCGCGAGTTTGTCCTCACCCGTTGGAAGTCGCGGCTTGAGATGAAGCACTCAGCCGCTGGGATTTACTGAGTTTCGCCGGTGCCGGCACTGCCAAGGTACGTTCAAGGTACGTTCAAGTGGATCGCGCTGGCTGGCTGGATAGCTACGGGCGCGGTGATTTCGTGCGCTTGAACCTCCCCCCCGCACCCTCCAACACCCCCAAACCACCAAGACGCTGAGTTCGACTCCCCCGTTCCACGGCGTTCGTTACATAACGTCAGTGGAGCGTGATCTGAACCGCTCCTGGCTGGGTCAGTATTCCACCGCTTCACCCCCCTCCCCCCCCCCCAGATACTTCACTAATCCGCATTGGCCAGGAACGGGTGAAGTATGGTCAAACGAACCCGTCCAGCACTGGATGGACAGACGGTTGTCATTTTTTCGTGGGAGAAACCGCCGGTTGAGATGGGAAGTTTTCGTTCTTTTTGACGAGAGGGTTGTGACGGATTCCCACCGTCATCCCAGTCCGGTGTGTGCAGATTTAACCCAGAGATATAATGTGATCGCATCCTTTGCGCCGAAACTTTTGTTCGTATCCGGCGTAGATTGAGAGCACTGTATCCAACGTGATGAAGCAATACCTACTCTCGTTCTGTACACACCACACGCTACCCCTTAGAGCTCGTTACTCTTTACATAATCAACCGCGAAGTGCAGTTTTAACAGTCGAAGCCGGTGAAACTTACTAGACTTTTACTCTTTAAGTTCTTTCGGTAAAAGTCACGTGGGTAGAACAATCATAGATCACGACGTTTCGATAGCAACGCAAGCCATTTGTCCTCAGGTGGAACAATACAGCAGGCGGACTGCTGAATTGTTTTTTATTGCGCAATACCGATGTATACACAGTACGTGATATTTAAGTTGTAGTTTGTGACATCCTAATCGACGTAAATAAAAAAAAACTTCGTTTATCCAAATATTCGTGGTCATTAACTGGGGGATTCGTTTAGGGGCCGTCCATAAATGACGTCACGCACCTGGGGGGGTAGGGGGGGGTCAGACATTTGTGATGATGTGTGACGAAGGGGGGGGGGGGGAGTGAGAAATGTGACGTCACATCAAAATGCGCAACTTTAAATAAATATAGACAATACGTTCTACTTAGTTAAATAGACTTTTTAATAAATGTTTTCTCCTACAACATCAGAGTGCAGCGCCACGTTAAATACGCACTACAATGACAATAGTTTAAAGCGATTTGAAGCATGTTTTTATGGGGGGGGGGCAGAGCTTTGTGACGTCATATTTGAGGGGGGTCTGACTTTTTGTGATGCCGTGTGACGAGGGGGGGGGGGGGGTCAAAAATCGTCCAAAATCGCGTGACGTCATTTATGGACGGCCCCTTATCCGTCGAGCGTGATCAGGGAACGGATAGTGGGAATAATTTGCCGAATAACTCCATGTATCCGTGGTCCCGACCCCTGGATGAACGAATTAACCCGAAAAATCGCGTCATGTGTAGCTTAAAGAATGAATGGTGATCATAACAATAAAATGTACAACCTTTTGTTAAATATGCTGCTAGATTAAGGCGTCCAAATGACGTGGCGTGGGAGGGGGGGTGTGCCTGACCATACTTCACCACGCTGGTCAGTGCGGCTTAGTGAATGGGGGGGGGGTAGGAGGGGATGTGATATAGCCATAGTCATGTATCGAACTCAGGGGGCCGTGTTCACAACGTGCTACTATGCAAAACAAACGACTGCACTGCGACTGTACAAAGTGTAATTTAATAAGTGCGTGAACATTGATTAACAAAGGTTTTGTGCAATTTTCAGCCGATCGATCTTTTTATTATTATTTTTTCTAAAATTCGTTTAATATGAATGTATATGTGGCCTCGACGTGTGTCAACTAAAGCAAGCAGTAAATATTGAAAAATGCATCCATTACCTCTTGTGAGCGTGTGAGACGCATCGGAGGCAAGTCTACTGCAAAACTTTCTGAACAAAATACGGGAGCAAAACTTTACACCATGACAATGTTGACCAATTAAATCCCATTCGATCATCAACCCGCACGGACCAGCTTGGTGAAGTATGTTAAGCAACCCCCGTGACCAACAAAGCAACATTTGGTGTGGAGCAATCAGTTTCAAGGACAATGCATATATTGTCATAGTATGTTTTTTTGTTTGCATTTTGACTGCAGGTATTGTGGTTAATGCAGCAACATGAATCCTCGTAAAAAAAGGTTTCAGTTTTGTTGCCAGAAAATGGGGAAAACCCCTATTATTACAACACTTCCTGTGGATGCTTTTTGTTTACACGCCTTCATTTAACTCACTCTGTTGTTGTTGTTGTCGTATCCTCAAATCTTGTAACTCAATTTTAACCCACTTCCCAATGTGGTATCGACTGCAAACTTGGTATACTTATGTCATACTGATGACAATACTATATCATAATAAAACAATGTTACATTAGTTTTTACATGTTATGTTTCGGCTTGGCTCTAATTGTCCACGCTCAACTGACGTTGACTGGAATTGGCCACGGCCCCCTTACGTTGTGGCAAGCTTCGGGGCCACTTCCTGGAGTCGTGGAGTTCTGCCATTATGAGTAGGGTACATTTCATTAAAGCGTGTTTTTTTAAAAAAATATATATTACTTATTTTAGTATCCAACAGTGGATTGATTGAGAAACGTTTGCGAAAGCTCCACCAGCATGCCGTGTGTATTGTAACGAACAAAGAATGCGCAGCTCGTGGGATGCAGAGATAAGGAGGCATTTATTTCCACATTCAACTGCGGCCCATTTGCTGCCTGGCAGAAGGCGACACTTGTTTTTCCTGCTCCTTGGCGAACCTGTGCAACCACAAAGATTAGAATGGCAACCTGAGGAACGAAGACAAGAAAGCGTAACACTGCTTACCGTATTCTCCCGATTCGACAGACGCACCCATTTCCCTGCACTTTAAAGTCAAACGCGTGTGTGTGTGTATGGGTGAGTGGATGCGGGTTCGTCTTCTAATCCGGAAGGTGTGTGTGCGTGCGCGTGTGACCAGATTGGTATAGAGTAACTTTATTGACACCCAGGCACACCGTTTATGGTGCGTCTTATAATCCCGGAAAATACGGTCGAACCAACTCATCACTGGGGGTGAAATGATTAACAAACCACCCCGATTGTAAGACAAGTCAGTGGGGCTTGGACAGGTGACGTCCCCTAGAATGGATGATGGCCGGTTGGGTCAAGAATCGTAACGCGGGGGCAGCCAAGGAATGGAACGCGTCCGAGAGGAAGGCCCTTGACGGGGAAATGGAGCGATGAAATCAGCTTGCATCCCTGCGCCGGGGTGGACCATTAAAACGCGGGATCGTGAGAGAGGTGGCGGCGGATTTGGGGAATCCTTAATCCAGCAGTGGATTGAGCACGGTTGATGATTATCATGAATCAAGTGAATGTGGTGGCTTTGAGTGGCTGGAGGGATCGTGTGAATGCGTTGACGTGAACGTGATTTTTTGCTTAAATGACCCAGTGGTGGAAATTCCAAATGTATCTGGGTGCCACAAGGTGGTTTATTTATTGTATTGAACCCGGAGGGATAATGGGCTGAGTCAACAACCTCCAACCAGGATTTGAACTTCCGATTGCGAGCCACCCGGCCAGACTACAAAACACACCCAAACCCATTACATACAGAATACATTAACAGAGAACCATCCATTCTTACAAATGAGTTTAGATGCACATATCGTGAGCTTAAATAATCAATATGAATCTATTGATCGGTGTTTGCTCTCCTACCCATCCACATTCGTGGCAATCCGGAAAAAAACACTTCAACATAGTTTAGCGGTGGTTGTTTTGCTGTGAGCATTTTTATTTATATATTTTGTAATGACGCATCTGCATAATTTCTATTTCCTGCCAAATCACATTGCGTAATTACACGTACATCCCTTGCATCGAGTGAATGTTTAGATGACCATACTTCACCGCGCTGGTCAATGCGGGGTGGTAAAGGCGTGGGAACATAGACTTGGGAGAAGAGTACCGAGTTTTTTGTTTGTTGCTAAAATAACATAAACTAACGCTAAATCTACATAACACGTAGGCTTTCGCGACCAATATTATCCACAATAGAGGGTTTTGGGTTAGATCGCGTAAATATAAATGTGTCGCTAAATCCGCCACCACCCGACAGCCAACTAGTAAGGTTTGTCACGTAAACAGAACATGCCAATTCGTCACTAGTACAGCACACCGGTGTGTTGGAGAGTAAATCCACAACATCTACAATTCGAGTACGACGTTTCGCTGGTAATTACAGCCAGCATCATCAGGCGACAGCCAGAGTTATGGAGAAATGTTTTAGTTTCTGTCTTGGAGGGATAATTATTTATTTATATTCACGTGATCTAATCCAAAATCCTCTATTATGGATTAAATCTACATACTCAGAATGCATTTTGTGGAGCTCAGCCCCAGACGGCTCCAGCTGAGACCAAGAGCATGCTATACCGTACAGTGTACCCTATTAAAAGCCACCGATAATAACTCATGGAAACGACATTTAACAAAAACAATAATTAAACCCGTGATGCAATAGCGTTGTGCGCACCTGAACACCGTTCACCACTGCGAGCCGTTCATTACCAACTCACTGGATATAAAGGGGGCAGATACTTTAGTCAGATCATAAACGAAAACTGTCTTTTACGAGCTAAAGAGACATTCATTCTGTTGTATTTAACAGCAGCATGTCTCATCTCGCCGGCCTTATCTCGTTTGGCAGCCTAACTCGTGATTCAGTCACAATGTGTCATGCGGTGTTTTGTCCGCATCCTGTGCGTCTGTGACGTCGAGATTGCCATCTTTGTCACCTGTTCAAAATCGGAATTTTTAGACTGGAGGAATCCGATGAGCTACAAAGCTCTTTTTTCACACATGTGTTCCAGTCTTTTTCACAGATGCCCACCTCTTGAGGAGCCTCTTAAGAATGTCAAACCCTGGCTCGAGTCTCGCATTCACTTCGTATTCACAAATTAAACCGTTCACGTGTTGGTTTATTTTTTCTCCCCTTTACCGCAACGGTGACAACGCGACGTTCGTTTTTGGCGTGTTAAGAACGGTAGCCATAACCTACAGTCCCTTCGTCAAGTTACTTCCCGCAGCCCGAAGCCTCTCTCCCCCCACTTGCCGTGTCAGACAAACGAGCTGCTTGAGACCGCGCGTCAGCACGCTTGGGTCAGTGCGGGTGGGTGAAGGTTTTGGCCCCAGGATCGGTTCGCCACCGGCCAGGAAATGATCTCTGGCTGCCCGTGGGTCACAGCTCAGTGCAATAAATCACTACGCCACTTCCTCCCATTGCCCTTCGCTGTCCGTGTGTATATCATCATCACAGCCACGATTAATCCACTGCTAGAGTTTATATGAAGATGGAACGTAGCATGAACAAAAACACCAGGAATTGATATTATCCCCTGATATATACACGTCATTTTTTGTAGTGAGGTTAAATCAGATAATACACCTGTTGGGCTTTTGAGAAGCTGTTATCTTTGACTTTCAAACTTTATTTGAGTACGCCTTGCGTGCGTGACCTCGTCATCAGTTGTGGCTTTTTAACGTTGCCCTCCTTCCACTTGGTCTCTGTCGACCACAAAGGCAAGCAGAGCGAATTTGGGAGTGGGAATTTAACTCGACGATAATTGTCACCAGTGAGTGCATGCTGTCGTGCTCACAGGGATTGTGTCGTTTCCATGAGTTATTATCGGTGTCTTTTAATGGGGTACACTGGACGACATAGCATGTTCTTGGTCTCAGCTGGAGCCATCTGGGGCTGAGCTCCGTAAAATGCATTCTGAGTATGTAGATTTAGTCCGTAATAGAGGGTTTTGGGTTAGATCGTGTGATTATGAATGCCATTATCCCTCTATTTAAGACCGCGAAACAGGAAGATTTCTCCATAACTCTGGCTGCCGCCTGATGATGCTGGTTGTAATTATCGGCGAAACGTTCTACGCGAATTGTGTATGTTGTGGATTTACTCTGTAACACACCGGTGTGCTGTACTAGCAACGAATTGGCATGTTTTATTTACGTGACAAACCTTACTAATTGGCTGTGTCGGACGGCGGCGGGGGTTAACGCGGTCTAACCTCCCCCCCCTCCCCCCTTCTATTGTGGGCAAAGCAGCTTTGTTTACTTGAGCGGTGTGACACCACGCACCCATAAGGGTGTGCGGAAGAGAGGCCTGACCGGCACTGGAGGAATGCGAACCTCGGGGAGTGGCTGATCCTGCCTCACCAGTTTTTAAATCGCCACCCTGGTTTTGGCTCCGTGAACCACAGTGCACAGTTGCACCGTGACGCAGCCCCTGGAATTAGTTACGTTCGAAAACTGGAATTTTTGCAATCGTGTGCCATGGAGCCATTATTAAAACTGATCGTAAACGCATATACTGCATGTTATTAGCATGTAGAGAACTGTACTGCACTTTAAACATTAGCCGTAGACTCTAACCCTGGGCTGAAAATCACACGTGACACATGATCATATGCCTCTATTCCTGCCGAAGCACGCTGACGTGGACAATAAGGAAACATAAATTAAAATGTACAGACTATTGTAAATCTACTGCTACTACATGTCAATCACGTATGACCATACTTCACCACACTGGTTAGTGTGAGCTGGTGATGTGATGTGCCCAGGACCAGTTCTTGTATCACTTGCCACTGTTGTTAGCTATAACAGGGAATCAAACAGATGGTTGGGTTCAAAGTGCAGTGCGCTAACCATTGAACATATATTACATGTCTCAAATGTTTTTGGAAATATGAGTAGTGTTCAGTAAATAAGTGACCTTCAGTCCAGCGGTAACTTTATTTTACCAGGTAAGGCCCACTGAGCTATGTAGCTTTTTTTCAGAATTGACGTGGCCACAAATGATAGGCCAACGAAGTGGCTTTTCCTGTGGAAATGTATAGCAGCCAAATACTCCAAACGAATATTTCTAAATGTGGAGGGGAAAAACCAGAGGGCCCGGAGAAAAATCTACGCGACTACGGAGAGAACATGCAAACTCCAAATATACAGGTGTCAGGGATTGAACGCACGAACCCCCTGTATATCAGGCAAGGGACAGAACATCTTGCCACTGCGGAGTCTGTTTCGTAAACATTTAAGAGGAGGAAGAATGGTCTTCGTGGATATACATTGCAGTGTAACATTGCTACTGAAATAGAATCAGATAATATCAGTGTCCCTCGCACTTTAACACTTTGGGCAGCGCTCATCTGTACATTGTCTCTTGTTGGTTTTTTTGAGTGATTGGTACCAGTTCCTCGTTCTTTGCGGTGAGGCTCTTGCCCTTTCACAGGACACCCATTGATGGTGGGTTTACTCACCAGATTTGGCTCACTTTACTGGCTTGGGAGGAAAGACGTGCTGAGAAGACCACGTCTGGTATTTGACCTCGAGATAAAATGGCCTCTTGTCCAACGTTAAACCAAGTTGAGCCATGTCACACGTGAAAATATCCAGAACACACGTATAGTCAGAGATTAATTGCTTGACTCTGCAAACATGCCATGCATTTCTTGACAAAGAATTAGCTATTTTCAGAGCGGAAGTGTGATGAGATGAGTTGATGAGAAGGATGGTAGTACATTAATATGATTATGCATGAAATAAACGATGATGAAAGTGACAATGAGTGAGCGTGATGAATGGGGAGGGAAGTTGGGAAGAGGGATGGAGTTTATGGTGGAGAAGGGACGGGGGAGAAGAGTTTGGGTAAGCGAGGGAGTCTTAAGGGACCAACGAAAAATGTACAGTAAATCTGATCCTTTGTATGTATCTACAACTTGTTTCGCACCGCACGTAGACAACCGTGCTAACTGGAGGTGCGGGGGAAGGACAACAAACTGACATACATCTGTCCTGGTGTCAAAGGCTGTCTCAGAAACCTAAACCACCAGCTATGTAACCCTAGCCGGTGGAACATCAAGTTGATTGTCTCCTATTGAAGTTGCCGTTCGCTCGGCCCCCATGTAGCACCCTCCAGACACCGAACAGCGATCCCAATCGACAAACGCTGGCTCCAGAAGCGTGGGGGTCAAAGTCAAGCATCAGTAGAGTGGGTCCTCGAAATAACTTTCGCAGATTTACCGGCTTCCGCATTCAACGGGGGGGGGGGGGGTGTGTGGATGGGGCTTTTTTGGGGGCACTCAGAAATGTAGAAAAAGGCTGAAAACCTTTATCGAATCGCACCCGTAAAGCTCACGAATGTCTCGGACTCGTTATAAACTGCGTCTCCATGCTGCGCAGAAACGCCATGTGCCATGCGGTGGTCAGATTAGTACAGCACAGTAACCACTGCTTACGATATGTTCATTTTAAGTTACGTTATACCTTAACGTTGTGTTTTACTATAACATGTCGGGAGTACTCAAAGGTAAAAACGACAAGCTGTAAACTGAATCAATTTGGTGTCCGCAAAAATAACGGGGTTTTAATTCTGCTCAGGTTTTTCTCCGCGAGTTTACTGAACAGCTCTCCCGTCTGTGTCTGTCCGGGCCCGGGCCGCGTGTCTCTGCTCAGCTCCACGTGCTGCAAAGCTCCCAGCAGCACGTGGAGCTAAACACCAGACATCTCGCCACGCAACATGCATTGGAATCCGAACTCACACCGGAAAAGCTAAAAGCGGGTTTTGTAAAATAAACAACAACAACAACGGGTAAACTGGGGGCAACCTCATTCCTGGTATTTTTAATAAGATGCGCTGAACTTGGCCACTGGGCCATACACCGAGTCCCCTGTTTACCGGTCGGCGTGTCGATGCGAGCGCGGTGGTGATCTCGCGTCCCGGCTCGTTGCCTTGGCAGGTGCGCGGGACATGCTGGTGCCCTGGCGGCGGAGGCACGACCGTCCGGGCGGGATCGCAGACCGCTCTCGCTGACATGAGTAAGGCTGCAACCACCACCACTGCTCGCCACCAATTCCCAGCGCCCCAATGTCCACCGCACGTTTCCACGTTTCATTTGGATTGCGCTTGTACCGGGGGGTCGTGTAACGGAGGCGTTTATATCGTCGGTGCTTCGACTCACGATGTGTAGCATTCGTGGAGGCGTGCGCTCGAAATTGGATACTTCCGGTGTGTGCCGATGAAATACTCGTGCCACGCATCGGTGGCCCGGCGGGCAGAGTGAGCGGCTCGCAATGGGAAAGTTGCGATTTTAAATCCCGGTTGAGGATCGGCTCAGTCTATCATCCCTTCGGGGGTCGATGAATTGAGGATCGCTTTACGTGGGAGTCAATTTCCGCCACTGACTTAGGGCCGCGAAGAGGAGACGAGTGCCACCTGAATGCTGGGAATTACACTGAGACAGAAAGAGGAACGGGTCGATGAGAGAACGAACACATATTAGGGACATCGCCTTGACCCTTAAGAGAAATGAATGTGGTGTGATTACGACACATCACTTGCGGGAACGACGGCTGAGACCGATGATGGAATGGCACCCAAAAGAGGCAACACGCCGGAGAGGGCGACAACTGCGAAGGTGGAGCGATGCGACCGCGATGGATTGTGGCACAGCAAGCCCGAGAGGGACGGCAAAGATACCGGGGGCCTTCTTCCAGCAGTGGATAGAACATGGCTGCTGCTGCTGATGATGACGATGATGATGATGATTTAATCGTTTTTTGTGCAAGGACTGGGTGTGAAAATGTACAGTGACAAAGACCGTGTGTGGTGTCGTGACACCAATTTTGAAACAGACTTAGGGGTTTTATATTTGTTGCAAATGTAACGCCGCGTTTTTAAGCTTCGCAATTAAAAAATACATGGAAGTGACGTTAATGGAGTAACTGTAACGAGTAGTTTCTCTCCCAATTTTTCAATGACTGAAAAGCTATTATTACTGCGTGAAGTGTGTGAGCGATACACTGAATATAAAGATACTGAGATGAATATCTCTACTTAAGCCCTATATGCCAAGGAAGCTGTTTAATATTGCTCCAGTATATCTCACGCTTCTATTATAGCCCAGGGAAGAGAAAGGAGAGAAAAAAAATACATTTGAAGGCAGAGAGAGCGGAATTGGTTTGATGCCAGAAAATGTCAACATGACTCGTTTTCATACACAGTTGAGACATTGCATTTATCCCAGCATATGTATTATGCATGTAAAGAGGCATGCATAGTCTTCAACGATTTTTTTAACATCTAAATTGAAAACTCATTTTTTTAGAACTGATTTTTTGTGTTCAGTTTGTTGTCCTTCCCCCGCACCTCCGATTAACACGGTTGTCTACGTACGGTGCAAAAGAAGTTCAACTTACGTACAACTAATTGAACACCACAGATTTGAACCTGGGCACCAACCCACGTGATGTGCAGTATTACTTGTCAAAGCACTTGCAAATAATTGCAATACACGAGTAAGGTGTGTACTGACGTTCATTCAACATTATGAAGTTGAATTCTGTTTTTTTTATATTTATCCATTTATTTATAAGGTATATATATTTTTAAGTGGTAACCGATTCGTTTTTCTTGGTTCTTTCGGTAAAGTCACGTAGAAGGGAAACAATAAAATCATACAAATATAAAACAATAAAATTATCACGACGTTTCGACTGCAACACAAGCAATCATCATCAGGTTGTGAAAGCCACAGTCGAAACGTCGTGAGAATTTTATCGTTTTATATTTGTATTATTTTATTGTTTCCCTTCTACGTGACTTTACCGAAAGAACCAAGAATATTAATCCCTGCAGTCACGAAAGCTTTAAATCAAAATGGTAACCGATTGTTATTTTAATATTTTAGTTCGATGCAGAATACTCTTTTGTGTGGGTTAGTCGTTTTGTAGGTTACCTCCTGGGATCCACAGATGGACTCTACATGTGCTCTCTGTTCCAAAGCAGATTGCACAAATAATTTCCTGATGCTGCATTGGCAGTGGTGCACAAGCACAATTACCAAACACCTCAATCTACACAATCGCTTTTCTTCACAGCACATGTATGTACAATAAAACCTTGGATTGCGAGCATAATTCGTTCCGGAAACGTGTTTGCAATCCAAAGCACTCGTATATCAAAGCACTTGTATATCAGTTGTGATCACGTGACGCTCGGCAGACAAAGCGTATACGTACTACTACTCGTATTGCAAGACCTCGCTCGTTTATCAAATTAATATTTATTTAAAAATTTTGCTCGTCTTGCAAAACACTCGCAGACCAAGTTACTCGCCGCACATAGCCAACCGTGCTAATCGGAGGTGGGAGGGAAGGACAGCAAACTAAACACAAAAAAATCAGTTCTAAAGAAATTCGTTTTCAATCTAGGGCATTGGTGGAAACGTAGCAGGTTATTTATGTTTTCTTTTAAGGCCACAGTGATGTTGATGAGTGTGCCAAAATAGATTTACTGTCGTTTGAGAAATACAAACGTCTTTTTTTAATCATTCTCAGAAAAAAACTTTTTTTGGCTAACGCAAGTGCTTTCACTTTCTAAGATGTGATATGAATGTGTCAGTAACACCAGAACGTTTGGCAATGCACACGAGACAATTGAAAGAGCGACACATTTTTTTTTTTAAATCTGGTACCGCGCGTGATTGTCACTGCAGTCATTACGCTTGCATGGCTCGCCAGGGATCCGTAAATACGATTTCACATATTTTGACGTGAGGTTTCCAATTACAGAACGCAGGGTGGCCATTTTACTTGCCGGACAGAGAGAAAGATTACGGTCTTGCGCCGAGACCGGGGCTACGCGAACAATAAAAGGGACTGAGCTATTGAGGTGGCGTGAATTCCTGACACGAGCGTCCCACACTAACCCCGCGATCGCGTAACAAGCTCGTCAAAGTGAGCCCGATGCATCGGCCTGGAATTTCTCTGCGTTCATGCACGCTGTGTCACGGGAAAAGGAATAAAAACAACCTCTGTAGGAATCCAATTTTGTTAGCGCTTCGTGAAAAGTTTGGGGGTCGCTGTGAGAAGAACATTTTTGACAATATATCGACGTAACTGGTGGAATCTGCAGAAAGTAAAGTCTAGACGAATATAAAACAAATTAAATTTAAAGTTTATACATTTGCAACCCTCACTTAATCCACTGCTAAATGAAGGTCTCCCCCCCCCCCCCCGTGCCATGTGGGGTCACGCGGGGTTGTTTGACCGTGCTTCACCACGCTGGTCAATAAGTATTGGTGAAGGTTTAATAAGGCTGTGTCGGTCGTGGTGGGGTTGTGTCCATGCAGAAGTCACTCACCACTCACGTCAGCTGTGGCTGGTAATCGACATCGGGTGGCCCGGTCCAGAGTGCAGTTCGACAATCACTGCACTCATGCTCCTCCATATGCACGTGTAGCTTAATAAACATAATCACATACATTATACACACGTGAATACCCCATGCCAGGTTGCTTAAATGCAGATCATTTATACTGTACACATGCATCATTGATTAGCAGTTGGCTCTCTCTCTGTCTTGGCCTGACAAAGCACAACTCTCAATCAGCTTTTTCAAACTGCAGTGCCCTCGATCCCACCCCCACAAACTCATGGTGCAGCTTTCCGTGATTACTGATCTGTTACATTCATAAGTAAACACAAAGCTGGCAGTAGTGCACGCTGCAACAACAACACACTTGTATTCGACAACAGCGGCGGTGACAACGACCACAATAGCACCATCTTACGGGCGGCAAAGTACGCAGAAAAGGGCTGACGTTTCAGGCAAACGGCCCTTGTTCGGAGCAGCTCTCGGAAATTTTCCGAGAAAGGACCCCAACCTCAAGGGGATGGAACGATAGCTGCGAGAAAGGGAGCTGTCTCCGCTCCGAGGAAGAGTGCTTGCTCATTCATATGCAGATGAAGCCACGGAGAACACCGCTTGTACCTAACGGTCAGCAATCGTGCAATGCTGCACCAGAGGGGGTCGTAAGGACGCGGGTGGAGATGCACGGCTCGCGATGATTATTCCTCATTTGCATTAAACGTGACGCTCGAGGTGAGGCCCCGTATTTAATGTTACAGCGGCGGAGCAGCGGGGAACACAATTAGCTTAGAACCCAGGGACTTAAGTTTGATTCGCGGCCACGGCTAACATCAGTGGTGAGTCGTAGCTGAGCCGGTTCTCAACCTGCCCCCCCCCCCCCCCCTTCACTAACAGCCTGGTGAAGTATGGTCAAATAACGTCTGTCTGACACGTCCTGCGGAGGTCTGCATCTGGAAGTCGATTTACTAAGTGCCGTACATAATTGTTATTTTTTTTTAAACTGACAGCCGTGAGAGCATATTACATTTTTTTCAATTAATGTTTTTAGTCTTTAAGCAAATCGGTACTCAAGAAATAAGACGTCCACCTCCTCCAGCCAGTGTTGCTCTTCGCTACAAACATCGACGTTCATTATTTAATTCCGTCTTACGCCGACTGTTCGTTATTTCCAAGCAGCGCCTAAATTCGAGGTGGAGAACGGCCCGTTAACTGCACTGCACGACCCGCGCTCTTCGAAGCTGGGGAAAAACCCCGCGGTAATATCAACAAGCACATCGCTCAAACTTTGAACGCATCAACGGCTCGCCCTAGAATGACGACGACGGTTGAACGTTGGATCGAACCACCGATTTAATGACCGGACCGAGCAACTTACGGACGGCAACAGCAACAACAACAACCGCAACAAAACAAAGTGAAATTGTGTTCGTGGCCCCAGCAAAAGGGGCACGCTCAAGGAGACGAAGCTTGACACCTGTCGGAGACGTTGCCACAGACAGCCCGGCGGGTGCCATGCATTGCAGAATTTCTCTGCGCGTCTTCGAAGCCTTGAGCAGTCCGAGCTCGTTTGTTCCAGCTCTTGGACACCATTCTCTGGGCTGTCGGCAGCTATCGTCATGCCATGAAGAAAATAAATAAAAAACACCCCGCTCTCTCCGCTTGCTCCTATTATAGATATGGAATTAAAGCGAACAGAGCATTAAAAAAATAGTGGCTTTGGCATTTACAGTTTAATTTGAACATATCCTAAAAAATATAGTTTCAGCCTGAAATTACTTTCTTTGAGTGTGATTCGATACCGATGAATGCAAATTGCATCAGCCGTCTCACGACTAGTTGTGTCATAAGCGGAGTAGCAAGTTCTTTAAAATGTGAGGATTCGATAATGTTGTGAGCCTGGTTTATATGTTTCCACCATGAAATATACGCAAGAGATAGCCGACAAAAGAGAGTATAGCTCTTATTTGGAGGTTCACTGCTTTCCAGATAAGTGCGAAATATCCCAATTCTGAAAGGGCCTACCCCTCAATAATAATTACTCACATGTCTAAGGCGCAATCCATTCAGGGATCTCAGTGTGCCATGCACGAAGTTGGGAAATATAAATGCTGTCCTTTATCCTAACCCTACTACTGACAACTAACACTGACTGTAACCTTATAACCTTAAGACAGAACCTCACCTGACCCCAGCTTGATCCTGACCCTAAACCCTAACCCATGAATCCCAACCCAACGCTAACCCTAGTCCTCCCCCTCAACCCTACTCATCCCTAAGCCTAGTCCATGACCTTAACCAAAACTCCTATCCCTAGTTCCTAATTCCACCCATACCTATAACATTACAACCGGAATAACAAGAAGCGACATTTTTTTCCTTCGAATTCAGTTTAAAAAAAAATCAATATATATCAAGAGCCGCAATGCACTGTGGTGGTGAATACGAGACAGTGGTGGTCCTTCATAAATTACGGTCACGTAGCAGCAGTCCTTTAAAGAGCCGCAGGTTGGTGACCGCTGCCCAAGCCTTAAACACAGTCATCCCTTATTCTTTGGGTCTTTCGGTAAAGTCACGTAGATAGGTTCCAATTAATACAAATAAAATAAACAAAAACTACGACGTTACGATCAAAACACAAGCGATCGTCATCCTGATGACGGTCACTTGCGTTTATTTTTAATTGGAACCTATCTCCGTGACTTTACCGAAAAACCCAAAGACTATGAATTCCTGCAGTCACGAAAGCTTTAAGTCAAGATTTACAGTCCTCCCTTATCCTGATTCTGGCCAGGAATTATTATTAAACCGGCATCAATATGCCGCACGTGGCAATGGCACTGCCCCTCGGTCACTCGGACACGTGACACGTCCATCCCAGAGAAACAACCGGACCACAACACGTTTCTATTCGAGGATGGAATGAGTCACCAGCACCACCGCCCCCCCCCACCACCGCCTCCTCGCAGGTAATCCATTGCAATGCATTGAACGGTCACGATTTGGTCACGCTTCGATGAAAGAATCGATACGTAGAGCTCTTTCACTTTGGAGAGAAATGTAGCGCCTCGTGTGGCTGCGGCGGCGACAGTCACAATTAGATCAAAGCACATGAATTCTTAAACACGCGGGTCGATGCCTACATTGTGAACTTAAGAGTCAATATTTCATCGACGCGTCTCTCCACCCCGAATTTCCCACCGATTATCTCGACTTTACTTAGAAATAAATTCGAACCCCTTCATATCACATCGCGCGTGAAGGTTACCCCGCACCGTGTCGCTCCCGGGGGGGGTTTGTTTGACCGTGTTCCACCACCTTGGTGAGCACGGGTTGATGGAAAGGGGGGGGGGGGCACCCAGAACTAATTTGCACGTCGCTCGCCAGTGACGTTAGCCGCGGCCAGGAATCAAAGCCCGGTCGCCGCGTTCATCGTGCGGTGCGCGTCAACCGCTCCACCGTCCACCAGGTGGACTAAAATCTACGTGGTTTGGCAGGGTGAGAAAGCGCGTGGCGGGTTGTTAAAATAGATAGCTGTTTAACGCGTATATATGTAAGCACGTGTTTTTTTTTGCATGTGGTGACATACCCACTGCAGTCAGGTTCGTACGAGTTTGCCGCTACAATGCGCTCGCTCACTTTGCCCGCCTTTCACCAAAAATCCCGCGATGCCGAGTGCAACCTGACTCATCGGGTCACGTCATGCTAATGAGGGGCGAGGGTTGCCTTTGCAATGAGCCTCCGAGCCCTGAAATCAGCCGTCCCAACTCCCAGAGGAGGTGCGAGGTAGAAGTGAGTTAACCCACACGCAGCTCGCCTCACACGTCCGGCCTTTTGCTGAATTTCCACAACAGTTTGGCCTGAAATACAAATGAAGAGCATCTCATCGTGAACGATTAAATATTCAACACATGCCGGCAGTGTTTTTTTTATCATCAACCTTCTTTGTTTCTCACCACCGCCGCGTACGTTACCTTTTCTTCAACGGGATTCGTTCACATTGGTGGGTAACCCGTCAGCCCTCCAAATGGAACACGAATCTAATTAAATTACGCGCAAAACAATCTCGCAGGCTCGTGGCCCTCCTGCACACGTGTCAATTCACTACCTACGACCGTGCCTTAATTTCTCGTGGAATATTTTCTGGGGACTGCCCCCCCCTTTCCCCCCTCCCCTCCTTTCCCCCCCCCCCTTCCCCCCAGGAGATCAGAGAGATATTTTCTAGAGCTCAGCCCCAGGCAGCAGCAGCAGCAGCAGCAGCTCCGGTTAAGCCTCCGATGATGACACTTACGGCGTAGAGAGCGGTGGCATCGGGACCTCGGCGTGTGGGCGCGTGCTCGGGCTAGCGCTGGGTGAAGTGGAAGGGGTTACTTCCCCCGCGCTGCACGCTCACCGCGCTCCGCTTGCTGGAGACGCGGCGCTCTACAGGGCGGGGGGGGGGGGACGACTCGCGTCGCCGCTCGGCAGTAAGCGCTGTCCCGAGCGCGTCCTCACGGGAGTGCGTGCGTGCACTCGTACGTACGGGCGAGCGGGCGAGCGGGCGAGCGGGCACGAACCCACCGGGAGCGATGGCCACCGTTGTGTGCGAGGCCGGCACCTGAATGAAACCGACGGCGGGCAGGAAGCCATGCAAGTCCTTCAGATTGTGCGCGACTTGGTTTCTCCGTCCAAGAAGGAAACGGAGTTTAGCGGTAAGCTCGGCATTCGTCGATTCTTTCACACAGCGTGGGCTCTGCGCGTCTCCGTCACGGCGGTAACGACAAAGCACCGTGGAGACCACGTGTGAATTGATCGTTCATCGTTTTGTTTATTTTCTTATAATCGACCTTAAATATTCGGTCAACTGTCGAAGGGCTTTTCATTTGAAAGTTGCTGTAACGAGGCGCGTTAAGCTACGTGCGTGCTTTGCAGCAGCGTCCATCGCGAGCGGTTTCGACGGCGGTATTTTGAGTGCCTGTGTTTTTGTGGCGACTGCGGGAATGGATTTTGAGGATAAGTTTGGCAGCCCCATTATGCCGCGATGTGAGCGACCAGGTTGTGCGGTGCAAGCGCACGCACGCGTGCACTCTCGTTTGCTTGCGTACGGACGTACGGATGGATGTTTAACTTCTTTTGCGCCGTACGTAGCCAAACGTGCTAATCGGGGGGGCCGGGGGGGGGCCGGGGGGGGGGGGGGGGGAAGGACGGCAAAACTAAACGCAAAAAGCAGTCCTAAAGAAACGAGTCTTCAATCGAGATTCATTTAAAAGTGCACCGCCCCAGCGGCTTCCTGTGCACACGCGCGCCGTGTGTGAAGGTCGCGTTGGCGCGCACGTCGAGAGGGTGCCGGGGAAAAGGGCAAAGGGAGCGTGGCGCGAGCCTCGTTGCTCTGCAGACGCATTTGGCAAAGGCTGTCACGAGGCTTCGTGTTGGGAGGCAACTCATCCGTAAAAAATATATATAATACTCTTAAAGCTGTCCCGAGTGTGTGTGTAGTATAGTGTCCTTAAATGTGACCTCGAGGGCGTATTTGCTGGGATGGACATAGTTAACATTAATCCATTGCTCCCGTGCGACCGTTTAAAGGGGGTGATGCCCCGTGCACATTCGAGAGGCCGAACCTGTGAGGATTTGCAGCCACTAAACAAAACAGTGTTCAATACAGAATGCAATAACAATTTACAGCCGCTCTCTCAATCCATTGCTGTGTTGGGTCATGGGGCTTACTTGACCATACTTCACCATGTGGGTTGGTGAAGGGCAGGGGGGAGACAGAACCGGTTTTAATAATAATCGCCACTGACGTTTGCCATGGCCGGGAATTTAATTCAGGTAGCCGGATTCATAATTCACTGCGCAAACCACTGCATCCTTTACAATAAACTATACACGTGAGTATAATGCATCAGCAAAATAACTTATTCATGTAACAACTATCTGATTAGTGCGGGTTTGTGGATGGGAGTGGGAGCCCAGGACCCGTTGATGTTTGCCGTGGCCAGTAATTGAACCTCAGGTTTCGTAGTGAGCTAACCGCAGCGCCACCACTCCACCACCTCCTCACATTTAAACGCGATGTAAATCCAAACCGCGTTACGCTACACTTTCGGGAAAGGAACGACGGGTGACGAGGGATGGGACAGACCCGGTGGAGTGTGGGGTAGCTCCCGCTCGCCGCTCTGCGCTCCTCAAGCGTTAAGGACTCCCGCGCTGTGATTGCGAAACGTAACGGCGACTGACAGCAGCGCGGTGTCCAAGTGACGTACTGTCCGTCTTCTCGTGATTAACACGCCGAGAAGCTCGGTGTCGTTGGACTCCGGCAGTGGTTTTTGAGACGCTCATTGAAGTCGTCCTTCGTGTCACAATGCGGCGTGCGGGTTTCCCTGTCGGGGAGCAGACACAGATGATTCTGCTCACGAAGCGCTGCCCTCCCCACTTGTGAGCACGGCGGTGCTTATACCGCTGCAGCTCGCTTCAGGGTCTGGTGGTTTGACTCGGGTGCCCTGCTTTATTTGTCTTTGACACGTCCCTTCACGTGCCGCTCCGTGTGCCACACACACTAAAAGTATTTTTTATTTTACCAGGTAAGGCCCACTTAAGCTTTACAGCTCTTTTTTTCAGATCAGAAGCGTAGCTCGCCACAAATGATATAGCTCAATGGGGTTGCTTATAATGTGGAAATTTATAGTAGCAAAAGACTCCAAACGTATGCTTCTTAATGTGGAGGGAAAAACTGGAGGACCCGGAGAAAAATCCACGTGACCACAAAGAGAGAGACATGCAAACTCGAAATATCAAAGCGTCAGCGTCGGGATCTAACCCACGACCTCCTGCATACAAGGCGAGGGAGTTAACATCTCCTAGCCACCACGGCGCCTCCCCACACACACACTTACAGCCTCGAGTGCTTGGCCAGATCACATGACACGATCGTCTCTCGCCCTTTGCAACAAATGTCCCAGCTAAGTCTCTTAAAATATATCCTTCTTACGAGATACCCTGCAATGTACGCGTCACGTAAATTAGTGCTTGCCAGCGACACGTGTTGAATAAAAGGGCTCAGGAGAGCTGTGGGATTAAAGGGGGGGGGGGTTGGCTTAACCCCCCATAAGACCCCTCACTGCCCACGACTGAACGGGTTACTCGTCTTTGATGCAATGTCGTGCCGTTATGGTACAAGCTGCACCTGATACGCCAACGCACGGACACGTAATGATAGCTGACCGCCAGTCACCGTCACAATGCAGAGACGTCGCACCGGTATTTTGCAAATGCCACGTCGAAGCCCGGCGGCGGGACGTCTTTACTGGCGCGTCGCTATAGCTCGCCCCGCACGAGGTGCGACGTGGATGGAAGAACCGTCGCGGTCGGGGAAAAATTATCGCTCTCGCCCATCCGATAACGTGCCAGTGTGTGATCCCCCGCGCAATGAAACGCAATGAAATCCCAAGCGCGCGTGGCATGTCACGTCTCTCCATTTCTTTCCTTCGATGTGCTTGGGCATTTGTAAAATGCCCGTCGTTGTTGTTTTGTTGCGAGGTGTGTTCGATCGATGGCCCGATTCGTCCGCTGCCTCACGGACTTTCACAACAAGTGCAGTGTCCAGCCGAGGGGAGTGGGGGGGGGCGAGGAGGCACCGGGTGTGAATTTTGAGAAATGCGACGTCACATCAAAATGCGCAACTTTAAATAAATACACGTTCTACTGAATTAAATAGACTTTTTAACAAATGTTTTCTCCTACAACATCAGATTGCAGCGCGGCAATAAATACGCACTACAATGACAATAGTTTAGAGCGATTTGAAGCAGGTTTTATTTGTTTGTTTTTTGGGGGGGGGGGCAGAGCTTTGTGACGTCATATTTGAGGGGGGGGGGGTTCTGATTTTTTGTGACGCCGCGTGACGAAGAGGAGGGGGGGGTGGGGGGGGTCAAAAATCGTCCAAACTCGCGTGACGTCATTTATGGACGTCCCCTCGGTTCGTCCTCACGTTGTGCCGGTGCGGTTGGATGAGTGGCGGGGAAATAAATTCCCAGCCGCGTCGCTCGTCCAGGACGGACCTGGCCATCGTCCTCGAGGGCTGCAGGGGTAAACGCCGCGCGGCATTCGGGACAATCTCGTTGTGGAGCGCAGGACGGCGATGCACTTCGAAGTGGGGGGGGGGGGGGGGGGGGGGGGGGGGCGGGGGGGCAGCGCGATACAAATAAATTCTGTTCTCAATTCGCACGCACGCACGCACGCACGCACGCACGCGTGTTTATACATCGCGGGACAGAATACAACCGGAATATCGAGCAGCGGCAGCGGACTCTCTCCGTGGCGGAGAAACGCATTTAGTCGGGAAAGCGAATGTCTCTGTAGATATGGCGGAGAGGGTGACACATTCATTTTCGTCCCAAATTTGCCGGCGCAAATCAACGGGGGGGGGGGGGGGCGGTGTTTATATCGCGGACTCCTGACCAATGACAAAGCGGTCTCAAGGAAGCAGGTGACACGTCAAGGTAGCTGAGAAAGAAATTGAGAATAGCCGAGGTGGGGGTGGGTGGAGGGGGGGGGGCTGGGGGGGGGGTTGCCACTGGATAACAATCACGTGGAGGAGGGGGGGGGGGGTCTCCATCCAACGCACAAATGAAACGCGCGTCAGAGTTCACACCGATAAATCTTTCGTTGCTATGGCGATATTTAACTGTGTCTTCGTTGAAAAGGGAGGCGGAGCGCGAAAGGGGGGCTGGGGAAACGTGAGGCTTCTGGAAATGTACGCACACTTCCGTTATACCTCGAGGAGGGAGCCTTGCGGTGCATGGGAAATCTGGACGTCTCATCTGCCAAAGAGCGTCTGTTGCCATGGCTATAACGCATGGGGCGCAGCAGCGACGGCGGCTTAACCCTTTATCTCTCAGAATTAGAAACGCGATAGCAGCGAGAGCTCGGTTTCATTGCGTTCGCCGACCGCTACTGCCGCGGGGGGGGGGGGGGGGTGAGATAAATATGCAGGTAAATATCGATGAGCTCTGGCGTAATTGATTAGGGACTACGGTAAGCTTTGCTGATGGACCGGTGGCGCAGCGGTTAAGCCGCCGCGCTATGAATCTGGTGGAGCTGAGTTCTATTCCTGGCATCAGCTAACTGCACCAACCCAAGCTGACTGGTGTGGTGAAGTGTTGTCTAACAACCCCCCCCCCCACCACCTGTGTTTGACAAAGCTTGGTAAGGGAGGTCTTAATCCAGCGGTGAATCGAGAAAGGGCTGTAAAATAGCCTTTCGCTGAATTTCGTTCGGGCCAGCGAATCCTCACAAATGTGAAACGGGGCTTCTCCCAGTTAAACTTTTCCAAAGGGACAATCCATCTGCCTATCTATGTTGAACTCCTTTCGCACCGTGTGTAGCCAACCGTGATAATCGGAGGTGCGGGTGGAAGGACAACAAACTAAACACAAAAAGCAGTTCTAAAGAAAATGAGTTTTCAATTGAGATTTAAAAGTGCATGGCTCAAGTGGCTTCCTAATATCGGAAGGAAGAGCGTTCCAGACGGCCACAGAAGCGCATCTGAAAGCGCGCGGTGCAACGAACGTCTTTGGACAACAAATCACAAATCGCTTTGTTATACCGCCTTTCTCTGAGTTGTGCTGCAGAGGGATTTATTAATTATGTGGAGTAAAAAAAATGGTGCTCAATATTTTTAAACAGATTCGGTTACGTCAGATGAGGCGTATACAATTATCAGCTGGAGCGCTCAGCCTAGGGACACTTATGACAAGAAAACAACACACGGCAATTCCATAAAATAACTAAATAAATAAACTTTTAATACATTGATAAAACTAACAATCATCAAATATAGTCATACTATTTGCCAGAGCGGGTTAAAAATATCGAAGGTGGAACAATTTGGTCGACCGTATGTTACTAAAAACTAAACTAAAACTTTATTTTACCAGATAAGGCCCACTGAGCTTTATAGCTCTTTTTCTGCAGCAACCTGGCCACAAGTGATAGCTCAACGAAGTGGCTTATCATCTGGAAGTGTATAGCAGCCAAATACTCTTAAACACTAAATCTGGAGGGAATAACCGGAGGAAACGGAGGAAAAATCTACGCAACCACGGGGAGAACACGCAAACTGCAAATTTACAGCAGGCGTCAGGGGCAGGATCGAACCCACGCCCTCGTGTATACCAGGCGAGGTAGTTAACATCTCGCCACTGTTACGTCTCACGGTGGCTTTCCTATTTAATCTCATCCACACTGTGGCCAACCGCACACACTGCAGGTCCAAGACCTTCTCTACCTTCATCTTCCCGTGTTCGATTCAAAAATCCCTTCAATCCCTCATCGATTACAACTTTTCATTGTGCCGTTTGTTGCTGGCCGCTCGACGTTCTGGGCCATTGAGCCTGTGCTCAGCAACTGCGTTTAAAGATAAAAAGTAAAATAAACTGAAAGGTCTTTGCATGTATATTGAACTTCTTTCGCACCATACCGTAGCCAACCGTGCCAATCAGAGGTGCTTGGAAATATCGGTGTTCATTGTTGAGTTAAGTTTTATTTCGTTTAACCAGCTGACAACTCAAAAAGACTAGGAGGAATCCCATTTGCAAGAGTGGCCTTGGGAAACCATTACGAGAAAGGCAATAACATAAAAAGTACAGCCATGAAGCAAATAAAGAGGTCAAAAAACGCCGTCGTGCAATAATTCTACGACGGCTTGGGAAGGCCTTCATCCAGCAGCGTATTGTCCGTGGCTGCTGACGATGATTATGACAATGGTGATTGCTTTGCAATGAAAATAAAAGTGAGCAACGAAAAAAAAAAGGGGGGACAGCGTTGAAAGACGTCGCGGCACTAAAACCGCAGTTGTACCGATAGGTCAAGGGTCACGTACGGGCAGTGGGGGTCGTTTGCTAGCCGACTGGATAAACATCGTTCATAATGGCCGGCCTCAGGAAGAGAGCGGACGACTGCACTCCTTCGCGTTCGCCGTATATGGTTATACTCGGACGGCGAGAGCCCAGTGTTGCTGATGTTTTCCTGTGGCTCAGCGCAGAGGCTCCCTGAATCTGGGTTATTTCTGTAAACCCCGCGGTTATAAATAGGATTGCAACGCAGAGCACGGGTGTGGAACAGACGTCACTGTCGCAAGGCGCTCTACATGGGCATTGTCCGGAAGTCACTGATCAGCTTAAGATCATCGCTACCCGACTGCGTCTAAGTCACTGAACCTGTTACATGTGAGGCCATATGATGAGTGTGCCCCATGAATCTGTCCATTGCCGTCCTTTTGCAAGGTTGTGGCTGGCACCGTAACGCTCGTTGTTGCTGTCGCTGTCTTGTTGATGTTTGTAATTGTAGTGTTTTTCCCTCCTCCTCCTCCTCTGTCTCTCTCTTCTCCCTGAATCGTCTCTCTCTCTTTATCCGCACCAGCCAGGGACGAGAGAGAGGCAGCAGCTCAGCTGGCCCGAGAGGCTGTCGCTATTGTGGCCAAGTACGACAAGGTAGGAAGCGACGGTGCCTTTGCAAGAAGAAAGTGACATTTCACAAACTGCTTTTGCCTGCCATACATGCTGTTGAATAGTCCTGCACATTCCACCAACTCGCACTCGAGCACAAAGGCAAACAGAGAGATCCTCTTCAGGGTAATTATACGTGCAAAGGGTTATTGCTATATAGCAGAGACGAATGGATTGGTCCTCCCCATCATGCCTTGCATGCCATGTGATATCACCGCACTGCATGCAAACAAATGCACACACGGCCTTGATTTAGGCCGCCAATTCAGGAGTCAAACTTGTGGCGAACATCAGTCGCTCCCTTTTCGCCGGCGACAAATCGCCTCTTCCCGTCCGACGAGACTTCTCGCCGTTTACAGAAGAGCGTGGGAATGAAAGTGAAAGGGGTGCCGTTGTTGGCCTGAGTGAGCTGCGCGAGGAAGGCAAGTGCATGGACACTTCCCGGCCAACTTATCGCGGCCGCCACGGCACGCGGTCGGGTGGCGTGGCCAACGGCACTCCCAGAGCTCCGCTGTCAATGTGCTTGCGCACGAAAAATGCGAGCGTTTGTTTCGGGGCCGCGATCACCAATGACACTGCTCACACAAGGCACGGGCCGTAATTGAATTACTTCGGGATGTGCGCGCGTAAGCGTTTAAGCCACGTCGCCGGGATTACATCGCGAGCATCTAATATTCACTCCCGGTGTCATTGCTGCTCGCGTGCAGGGGAAGCTGGAAGGTTGTCGAATATTACTCACTCATCCATTGCACAAACAGAAGCAAACACGTCTCGTCCGCTCAGTTGTCAGCGCATTGGGAGTTTTTTTGGTTTGTTGTTGATGCCTTGTGAGGTAATGGAGTTTTTGAAGCGGCTGCCAGTGCTCGTGAAGTTTTGCCCGTGCGAGCTCGTACCGCGTGAGTCATGCAATTGGCAAGGACAAGAGACTATAACTGCCCGAGCCCAGAGGACTTTGTAGCTTCACAGTGTTGTGTTTTAAAGGCAGCCACACCGATTGGTCTCCCATAAAAAAAATGAAATAAATTAATAGCCATTATTACAGCAATTTGGATGTCTATAGCATCCAAATGCAACAGCCTCACAAGACAATAAAGATAACATGAGAGGTGTCCATTATGGGGAACACAACGGTAGAAATGTGCATGTATATATCATTATTCACAGATCCTTTTGTCAATCCACTTCTGGATGAAGGCCTCCTCTCACATCTTTCAGTCGGGGGGACTTTTTCACCACGGTTGGTCATTTGGGTTGGTGAAATTGAGGGGATCAAAAAAGCCAGTCTAGGTATCAATTGCCGCCAATCGACAATCAGCCCCGGTCAGGAATCAAACTGAGGTCGCCTGGGTTTACATCGCGGCATGCTTAACCACTGCACCGCCCCTTCGCTTGCATATGCGCCGTGTTACATTTTACGTAAGGGACAGGGCAGTGACGAGCGATAAGAGAAGGGAAAGGCCTTGAACCCGAATGCGAACAGTGGCAGGGAGTTTTGACGTCTTTGCTTGTCCTGGTAAAGTAAAAAAAACACCATTGCTACCCACAACTGAGTGGCCCCATCCCTTGAGGCTGGGAGGAGTTGTGTGGGAAACTTTCCGTATACCACAATTTTACGGTCCAGCTACCATTGCAATTCCCCTGCCCCGCCGCACTGTATTTCACCAACCATGGCAGCCAGCCAACTAGCGAGAATGCATATTGACGATCGTCCGTCAGCAACATTAATGCCCTCATCCGGACTTCCTGTTCTTCATTCGACACACTCCTTTATAAACAGGACAAATTTCCTTTAATGAAGAGACTCGGCGGGGGATAAATGACACGCACGCGCAAATGCCAAGACGTGTACATGTATTATAAATTCGATTTTGGCGGATTTCATTGGATTTAGAGGACTTCATTTTTCTCGCTTTGTCAGTCCATAAAAAAAACACGATGAAGCCAGAATATGACCGAAGTTTGTGTTTAAACCGATGTTGAAATCCACGTTTGCGCATGCTATGTGACGGTGGGACAAATGCAAAGCAAACTCGGATAATAATTCTGTATAATAATGACCTTTACCTGGCAAGAGCCTCACTGCATTTTCAGGAAGGTTTCTGCTGTGGGGCATGTATGGAAAATTACACAAATTGGAAGGAAAGCAGAATAGTCGGAGCAAACCCACGTGTGTTTGGGGTTAACACTTGGAAGCTCCGCACGGATGGATTCAATCCACCTAAACTGTCATCTTTGAGCCACGTCGTATCCCATTGAGTTTGGCCATTTTACAATTCTGTGCAATGCACCAACCCTCACCTGCGCGTGCCGTCGCGACCGGCTCGTCGTTACGTGGAGGGACCGCGTTTTAGAGATTGGCAGGAAATCGCTGCCTGTGTGACAGATGACAGATGGCAGTGCACCTTGTGATTGACTGCATTACATTCCATCGCCTTGCCCGCGCACGTGACTGTGACAGAGTGCAACGATTTGGCGATTAATATCAGTTATTTTGCTCACGATGCCCACGTGTGAGAAAAAATATGGTTAAATAAAAATGCAAATAACGTGATATCGTTCAATTTAGGCTCATAAAAAGCCAACAAAGTTGCATAAACGAGACGGTGAAAATGGGTGGAAAACTTAGGATTTTTCAATATCATTGCACTCCCGTATCGCGACAATCCATTGAATCTCCAAGGGTCAGGGTGGTGGGTGGGGAGCGGGAGTTGTCACATGCCTGAAGCACGCGGTCACACGTACACGCACAACTCACATCACGAAACCGACATTCCTTCCACGGTCAAAACTGAACGCACAACCGTGCAAATAGTTTTTTTCGGTGTTACCGTGTTAATTCACTAAATGTAAGTGTGAAGCATTGATACAGCAACACTAATGGGGCAGACGTTTATTTTTTAATCCTAAAATACCTCGACAAGTGTAAAGTTATGCCAACAAGTGATTCATTATCTGTATCGGCGGCGGCGACGGCCGCTCCATCTGAAATGCACTCCCAAGCCAGTGGCCTGGGCTCATTTCCACCGCCCCCTCTCACTTGCCACTAATCCTTGTTGGTTCCTGCATTCTTTTCATTCTTCACCAATAGCTACATCGGATACATCGTGCAGTATTTATATATATTTAGAGAGAGGGGTCTCCCACGAGCAGCACTCTTCTGCCCATACACGACGCATTATCTGTTAAGATGATAAAGTCAAAAGGTGGAACTGTCCCGCCACGGTGCATTCCTCACGCGTCGCTCTGTGTCCCACGGTAAACACTGCGACTGGGGTCGTTGCCGTTTTGCACCGCAGTTTGCTCACTACCGTCCCATCCTTAAACGATTCTTCAATGCAGCTTTATTTTCGCGTTTGCGGGCTCCTGTGTTGAACGGAGGCTACCACAGACGCAACGTCGTCGTCTTGGTCAACGATGACGGCATGCAAATTCCACCGCGCGACTTCGAATTTTGGAGTCTCGAGCAACGGAGCGATGATTTATAAACCCGGGGCTCACGCCAGCCGTGCAAAAATCAAGACATTCCACGTCCATTCAAAACAAGTCCACGAGGACTGGCCCAATTTGACTAAACTGTAAACATTGTGTGCCAGGGTCGGTGTTCTTCCCTTTAATGAACTCAACAGACTCCGGCACTCCGTGTGCAGATGGAGACAACCGGACCGTAAGTGAATGTGGCGTGGCGTTGACGGGGTGTTCTGTCCGAGCTCTCGCCCCCGCGCCGTTATTTTTAGGGGTGCTCGCGATGCGACCCCTGACACATGAAAGATGTGCGTGCCCACCCAGAAGACGCAGGTCTGGGACGAAGCATGGTGACCTTGTCCGTCACCGCTGCAGCCCGGTTAGGCGAAGGCAGATTTCGCACAGCCCGAGAAATTAAAGCACTCGGGCGTTAGGTTTTTTTTTTTTGCAAAGCGTGAAATGAAGTTGGAAAATGCGTTCCGACAGGTTAGTTACCCCAAAAAACCCCGCTGGAATTTGATCGGCACAGACATTTTTTTCTTCCCCCCCCCCCCCCCCCCTTAAACAGCTTTACAAGATGGTTAAAATGAAGAGTGTGAGCTGAAGACGGCGATGAACAGGCCAGATGTGGGCACAGCTTGCCTTGGTGATTGAATGCCCAAATGCGTTTCATTTATATGATTATTTTTGTTATTTTGAAATTCTGCATTGGTGTCATGGTTAGCACACTGGACTTGCAAATCCAGAATTCGCTGGGTTAAATTTCCCGGCGCTACAGTTTGAAGCAACGGACATGTGTACTCAAATTCCCCAAACCTTCTGGCCAGGTGTGGGAAGAGCGGGCCTAATTCCCTCTCGAAGGGGTTCCTCCCTAGTGGAGACTGTCCTGTCAGCAGTGGCATAAGCAATCAACTGCAAGGCTGCACCTCTACCTGTTTATTATGACTGTAGCGTCATGATTATTATTGAGTGCTGGCTCCTCGTGAGGAGCGAGCGAGCGCGGTGGCTCGGGCGGGAGGTGGAGTCTTTTTTTGGCGAGTGGCCGCTCACACAATGCAGGCACAGTGCAGGTGATAGGGGTCCATTCTTAGTGTGGATCACACAGGTGCCATGGCAACGCTTGGCAGGTATTTTATGGTGTGCAGTATTCATTAATTAATACCTTGGGCAAGCGATGACGTGCTTTACAATGCAAGGCATTGTGGCATAAGCCACACGTTGTTCGCTTGGTGTAACTCGAAACGAGGGGCAATGGCAAATCCCTGGACGGATAAAAAAAAAATCGTTGGTGAATAACAAAAAGTCAAGAAATAACCAAAACATTAGTTGCGTGTAGTTTGGTGGAAATGTTTTTTTTCCTTTCCAAAAATGTAATTTACAGCCCCAGAATTAATATATTTTCATCCTTTTTACAAATCTTTATCCATAAAAAGAACCCAATAAGTTGTACGCTTTCGGCGGTGATTTGCGACACGCAATCACTGGAGTCAACATCGTGATTGTAATTGTTACTTGTGCAAGTAAAAAAATTGAGCACTGGCTGTCCCCGAAACCGTTCTCATGGCGAAATGTCCATCCGGTGATGTTCACAACTCTTAAAGTGGAGCAATTTGGCTTGTTTGAAAATGGCATCTTTGATGTATTCTACACAGGAGAATATGGCATTTCTTCCTCTCTTTGAGATTTTTGATTTGCACCCTTTTTTATCTACAAGAAGGATTCTATTTTTAATGACACATCTTTGCATTCTCACCCAAACGTGTACAAATAAAAATTTTGTCTAGATTTTTGTGCTAATTTTTGGAAGCTAATTAAAAGCAGGACACACGCAAACAAAGGGGTCAGAAACATGGGTGCTGCCCCTACAAATGTTTGCTCGCACACTTTCTGGTGGAAGAGCCTCCAACTAGACAGAGCTCGAGAAAGCCTCTGTGGAGGGTATTTGGCCTACTCCTTCACGCTGCGTGGACAGAGGCCGAGGGATTAAAAATAAAACTTGCCCATTGTCTCAACTTGCCACGCGGGGAGAGTAAATCGAACTGGTGACCTCTGGACTGCAAGTTCAGCGTGCTAACCACTACACCACAGCAACATCCAATAAAAATAGAGAACGGGAGAATTAAATAATGAAAATACCCTTCATTACAACAAGTTGAGGCATACCAGCCTCGATTTTAATAAAATATCATCCCAGCCACCTCATGAGTGTTCTGAATACAAAGTGCTCTTTCACACTTTTCCGTTGCTATGAAATGTTTCACATCGTTAGCAATGGATTTGTTGCCGATGGCTATTGGCCGTTCACGCCGTGGGATTCCAGCCGGACAGCATGGCCCCGGGAAGCAGTGACACCGTGATGACACCGCTGCCTGTTTGTGCGCGTGGCAGGGCCGCGAGGACGGAGTGGAAATCGACCCGTGGGAAGATGCCGACTTCCGGATCTATAGAGTCACCGATCGCTTTGGATTCCTCCAGTGAGACCCTGCCCTCCCTTCTCGCACCCGCAAGGGACTTCTCCCCAATGCGGTCACACGATCACGGTGCAACGCAACGAGCTGTTCTGGGTTGTTGTTTTTTTCGCTCTCATATGTTAAGCTCCCCATAATACGGCTGGCTTGTTGCGGATGGGGGTCCAATGTTTTACAAGGAAGGAAGGAAGGATGTTGGGAACGAGGCCAAGAGGCAGAATAAGAAATATGCTGTTTGGTGATTTGAAGGAAGTGGAACCTCGTGGAGCGAAATGAAGAAGAAAGTTCAATATCAAACAGGATGGATGGCCTTTTGAGGCATGGACCTGCAAATGGGCAGAGGACTAAATAAGGATGAAGTTTAAAGTCTTCTTCATGCCTCAGGCCTCTAAAGTAGTTTGTATACTAAATGGTAAAATGTTTTATCTGATCTTACATAATGAACTTAGTTTCATCAAGTATTCTACAGTGACATTCTTCTTATCTGAGCTGATGTGGGGAGCACTATTAGCACATCCTATTACCCACAATTATTCGCGAGAATTACTCTCATATCCACACAGCTACCCGTGGGCTATAATATAATAAGTCACGATATGTGGGTTACCGCTCATAATTCATAGATGAGCACGGACAATGGAATCGATGTGTGAACATTAAGATTTTATGCTGATTGATTCTGAGCGCAGGTAATTGGAAGCATGGGTAGTTGTAGTCTCACTGAAAGTTTTTTAATCAGCAGGCATAAGCTTTCATCTGGAAACAAAATGTAGTTGTTTATGTATTGTATTGCGTTACCCTGAGTAACCACAGCCAAGATGGAGGGCAGCCAGGCGGTAAGCAGGAACTACCAACAATTAGTTGTCCATGCGTTGCAATCCCCTATATAATAAGACGTTTACAGCCAATTACTGAGTGTTTGTACCTGTTTAGTACTCCACTCTGTGCCATGCAGAGTTACGTAGTACCATCCTCCCAGTATTCTATTGAATCTCAAATTGAGTTGTATCTTCAATGATAGTGAAGGATTTAAACTAATTGAATGGAGAGCCACATATAAGCCTGACCATAACACATACCTGTACTTACATTGCCGATAAACTTACGCTTGAAATGTTGGTATTTAAAAAAACAAAATCCCCAAAACATGTTCTGAATATAAAATCCGATTTGCCTACGTCGCCACCACACCAGGAAGGCCTTAAGCCTGTTCCCAGCCACCACCTTGCCAGGGGGCCCCTCTGTGGTGGGCCACTGTAAACACCACGTGTATGAATACCGTCCTCACAAGCTCAATTAACACGCTGATCTGGTTTGTGCGTGGGCCCACTGTACGCGTACTTCGACTCGTGAGAGCGGCGCTGCACTCAACATTGTTTTTGTCTTGCAGCCACGTGTGCGTTACACCCTCGTTGGCCGCGTTCATGGGCTTTCCACTTACCGCAGTGTCAAATTTACTGCTTTAGAGGTCGTTGAGACAATGGTTACTCTTTAACTTTCCGTTCTTATGTTAGGCTAGTAAGCTAGTCCAGGTTATTCTCATTCTGGGTATGCATTATTGGGGCTTGTCAGGGTTTGTAGCAATGCCAGAGCAACAGCCTGGCCTCAAATTGCATTAAACGATGGGCATCTTTGATATTCCTATGTATGCTTACCTGTCAACCCCTTATCAGTGCCTACCTTATTATAGACCAATTCAGACCTTAGTGGTCACCCCGTGCCCTTATAAATCTCAACATCCATCCTACAAAGCTCCATCACAAGGGAGAAACACAAACAAATAGACAAAAAAATGTTTTACTCAATTTCCCTGGACAAGAATACGGGTAAACCATATGGGTTGACAGGTATGTTGAACTTATTTCGCGCCGTACAGAGACAACTGCACTAATCGCAAGTGCTGGGGAAGGACAACAAACAAACTAAACACAAAAAGCAGTTCTAAAGATATGTACTTTCAATCTAGAATTACATTTTCAAAGTTCCAGTGGCTTCCGAATATTCGTGGCATTGTTTTAGCGCAAGACTTACACAGGGGCACTACGTTTCACAAGCAATTATAGTCTGCAGTAGTTTAACAGTAATTTGCGCTTTTGCCATGTACTGCATTACCCAATTGGCCAATTTGCAAGTAATCTGCAAATATGGCACAATTTGTGGACTGTGATGCTAGCACACGTGGCCTACTCTTTTTCGAATGATGTCACAGGATCTGAACTGTCCGCTGTGAAGCAGACTGCATATGACCACGAACCTTTGCGCTCCGAGGCTTCAGGGCTCCCCCATTGTTAGCCGTGATGAAGTCCGGGCTGACCTGAGGCCGAAGTGAACTCAACTTTTCAATTACCCAGCTACCAAATCATTGATGTTGCTCGTGAGGCCCCATAAAATCAGAGGCAGGGGATTATATAGGAATGTGAACATAGGCGTGGGAACTCAAGATAAGGTCCTGGCTCAAAGCCCAAGGGTGACCATAATCCTGGCCTGGTTATCAGAATTGGTATGCACTTCAGTCCGGTGACCTCAGTGCCAGCCAAAAATTGCTCTCATCAGTTAATATCTCGCCTCGTGAAGCATTTCGGAAATGCCTATTCTTGGAGTTGGAAAAGGAATCGTGTCATTCTTACGGATACAGTGGCAATACTTAAAGTGTGTTGAGCAATATGACCGTCGAGAAAGCCACTCCTTGGAGAACACTCTCTCGACTGTTTGAATGAATGTGGGACATGTGGGGCCCAGATTAAAGTTTCGCATTGCTCATTTACTCGCGAGTGATAAAGCCGTGCTCAAGTTCGCTAATCAAAAATATGCGAAGGCGAATTCTCGGTATCTGGATGCTCCACATTTAGTAAATATGCTGACTTGTACATAGTTAAGTGTAAAGAGACGATATGTACATGGATGTGTTTTTGAACGGGATATTTATACACGTACACACAATGAAACATTTTAGAAATGCACTTCGATGAATGACTCGTTTTCCTGAGGAAGAGCACGGCAGTAGAATATTAAATTACAAATCAAATATATATTAACAAAGAAAACAATAGCTGCCCAATGGTAATCAATGCAACAAATGGTATTTCAGGAAAAATAATTTTTTGAAGGCGATTCAGCAGTGGATCGACAACGGGATGTCAATTATTTATTGTTATACTGTAGTTATATAATAAAGAGATTCACATAAAGCATGTGATTACAACGTTTTTCTAACGCATAAAACCAGTTGAACAAGATAAATGAGTTTCTGATAGGGGATCACAAAAGTCTCCCTGAATCTATGCCAATTAAATCAACGTGCGCGCTTGTTTACCCAACGTGATCTTCATGCAAAGGAATGGGGAGCACTTTTACTGAACAGTTTAAATTGTACGAAAAAAACCCATCAACATTTTAATAGCCATAATTTTCAGGGAAGCCAAAGGCACACAGAATTGGAATTTTAAAACAATCATAGGAAAGAAATTACTTTGGAAGGAACACCACACATATAGTCTGAGGGCATCGCAAGCTGCCATAGCCTGGCTGCCCAAGCACAATAAATATCATGTTTGGCCCTGCCAGAGACAGACTCGATGCCAGAGACAAACCCCAATAGCACTATGCACGTACAAACAAAAATAGTCAACATGATTTCCTGCTCAAATGAGCAGTGAGGGTGCTCAACTCCCATTTACGGCCCTGAGACAGTGGCGGATATTCCACATTCCTATGACGGCGATGGGAATCTGTAAAAGACAACTGCTGTTGACTTCCGCCACAGAGTAGTACCAACTGTATCCACCTTGGAGGGATGATGGGCCGTGTCAACCTCAAACCAGGATTTGAACGCGGAAACCTTTCGGTCGTGAACCGCGTGCTCTAACCGCCAAGCCACCTGGTCCACCAACAAAAAAACTAAAGTCATTAGGCTGGTGTTTGCCACGGTCTCGGCGATTAAGATGCAGGAAATTGGTTATAATTTCCTGTTGGCGTGTGGTAAATCCTGGCGGGATTCGGGTTACCACTGCAGGGCATAATTCAGTTGCCTAAAGAACCTGCCAGGGATAGATCGCATTCTTCTGCAATCTGAGCACGGGGCACGCTTACACTATTACGTTGAGCGGGCCGGCAACACGATAAATTATGCATGGCAGCGCTTTCAAAATAGCGACGACCGCACGCGCGTCAGGATGTGAACCCCATTGCTTCAACGACGACTCTAAGATTTTGTAGGCGACCCGCGGGCTGAGCGGCAACGTTCGCCGCCTCGCGATTGGCAACGCAGCCGCTCGAAACGGCGCCCCAGTGGATCGCGTCCGATGTCTGGGCGGAACCGCAAGTGGACATTTACGCTCCCGTGCCCGTCCCCCTACAATCCCCCCTTTGTGTAGCTCGGTGCGAAACAGAAAATCTTGATTCGTGCGTCGCGCACACACAACACGCTCCGTCCTCGAGTTCGCTGGAAGGTGCCCCCCCCCCTCCACGCCAACCGCTGGTGGAGGAAGGTGCCCCCCAACTAGAGGATAGTTCCACAGATCCTAGAGCAGGGGCCGCCAACCAATCAACGAGAAGAAGAGACACTTTTTTCTTAATGATTCGGTGAAAGAAAACAAAAAAATCGATATTTCAAGAGCCGCAATGCGCATGGATATATACGAGACGGCCTTTCCTGAATGAAATAACTTCGCGAAGCTGTCCTTGAAGAGCTGCGTGCGTCTCCGGAGACACATTGTCCGCCGGCCTCTGTCCTCGAGAGGGGCCTTACTCTTCCACGCAGGGCAGACGCCTTGAAAGAGGCGGGAGTACCCACACTTTATCGCCCCACGGACACACGCGACCTGCCGATCGACTGACTGTGGTGTATTCATCATTAGACCTCCTTTGCCAGTACCAAAATATAATAATAGGGGTTTTCCTCTTTTTTCTGGCAACAAAACTGAAACCTTTTTACGAGGATTCATGTCTGCATTAACCACAATACCTGCAGTCAAAATGCAAACAAAAAACATACTATGATAGTATATGCATTGTCCTTGAAACTGATTGGTCCACACCAAGGGACGGCTTTCTTTTGAGCCTCGACCCAATTGGTGCTCGACCAGATGACGCCAAAAAGCGTCACACAGCTCAAAGACAATGCACTATCAAATTAATGAGGGCTCGGGGTGAGCATCTACATCATTAGACCTCCTTGTCCAGTACCAAAATATAATAATAGGGTTTTTCCCCTTTTTTCTCATTACTTTGATAGTGCATTGTCTTTGAGCTGTACGCCTTTTGGCGTCATCTGGTCGAGCACCAATTGGGTCGAGGCTCAAAAGAAAGCCGTCCCTTGGTGTGGACCAATCAGTTTCAAGGACAATGCATATATTATCATAGTATGTTTTTTTGTTTGCATTTTGACTGCAGGTATTTTGGTTAATGCAGACATAAATCCTTGTAAAAAGGTTTCAGTATTGTTGCCAGAAAAAAAGGGGAAAAACCCTATTATTGTGGTGTATTCGTTCTTACTGCTGCGTGGACCTAGACGGTTCACTGTGATGTATGTAGAGTACGCGTGTATATATAAATATAAACGTGTGTTCACGGCACCAATGCAAGTGCACTTGGTGGTCGCGTTAAAGATGTGAGCGACGTGCCGCTCATTCACGTGGGCACCTGCGCCGCACAATTCTGCGAGCACGTCGTGCTTTGGTTTGACGTGAAACTCCCAACGACAGAAAGGCAGCAGCAGTGCAACGTGACCTGACATGGACCACATGAACTTCACTCGTGCGGCTTGTTCATTTCAATTACAATACAGTATAATAGAACGACACATTTATATTTGCGTGATCTAACCCCCCCCAAAAAAAAACCCTCTTACGGGATAATATCGGTTGCGAAAGGCTACGTGTTGCAATGCAGTACTTGAACTTTGCACCTCCGATTAGCACGGTTGGCTACGTGCGGTGCGAAAGAAGTGCAACGTACATACACACAACATTTCGGATTCTGTCTAAAATAAACCGTGAGCTGTAGGGGGACAAAACGGAATGCATACTTCTTTTATTTTTTGAGTGATGAGACAATCATTAGAAAGGGAGAAGAAAAATATCTTAATGAGCCTGAAACTTAAAAAGGAGTCAACAGAACGGATAGCCGGGTGGGAGGGAGATGCAGAAGATAGAGCCTCATAGAACAGAAGGCGTCTTCTGATCGGCTCTGCTTCCGGAGCATTTGAGAAGTCGTGGAGGAAGAACGACCTCCTTCGTACGGGAGGGATTTATCCACAAACTCCATAAACGATCCCTTTTGAGCCCTGCCTCTCTGAACACTGTGGCAGCCTCCACAGCCAGCAGTGTTAACACGTTCGCCTTGGTTTCTTTTGCAGCAACGAAGACCTACCAGTTCCAGATGCACTGGAGGAGAAGGTAAGTGATTCATCGATGAGATGCAGCCGCACTTTGGCCGGCAGGTGTTAATCTCGGCGAAAGTTGTTTTCAACATGCGCTAGCTTTTTCCCCTCCGGTCATCTCGTTGACACTGGCTCCAGAGTTGAATTGGCTTTGGTCAACACTATCCTGCTTTAAATGGGCACTAGTGAAGTTGCAAAGCATATTTATACAGGATGTTCACACTCACAGGTCAAGCTCCTTGGCTGAGCCCTGCGTACATTTATGCAGCCGTTGTCAAAGCTCAGCCTGTGGGTTTCACGCTGGTCACACTTGTTCACCTGCCGATTGTCACCTATAAATATGGAATAGAATGATAAATACCACGCAAAATGTTTAATAGTAGTACACAGGAAGCTTCCCTCAAAATGACTACCGAAAGACATTTTGTCTCAACAAAGGGAAATAATGACAAGCTCCTTCTAATTATCTTTTGAGTTAAATGAGCTCATCGAGATCTGGGTTTTAAGCTCACTGGCCATCATGGGTACATCTCTGTGATTTGATGATTTGTCAAGAATCCCAGTCATGGTTCGATTCACAAGTTATATATTTTTGAATTATAAGAATGTCCTTGTGGCAGTGAAATACTGTACTCGCATGAACATACATGGATTGTTATCACACTTTACATGTAATCTGGAGGTCGCCGGTTTGTTTTCCGGCACGGCAGTTGAAACAATGGCACAAGTCTTGCTCTCCCCGCCTCTGTCCACCCGGCAGTATAAATGGGCGCGTGGGGTAAAGAGTCTGGGTAACCTTCTTGCGAAAGGCGCCTGGTCAGTGTGGAAGCTAAGACCAAAAACTCCTCCCCCCCCCCCCCCCCCACAATAGGGGGCTCTCTGGAGCCTCCTTTACTTGTGGGGGGCGCCGTGGTGGTCAGTGATTAACTCCCTCGCCTGGTATGCGGGAGGTCGTGGGTCCGATCCCGACCCTGACGACGCCTGCTGTATATTTGGAGTTTGCTTGTGTGTCTCTCTCTCCCCGTGGTCGAGTGCATGTTTCTCTGGACTCGCCGGTTTTCCCCTCCACATTTATAAACATGCGTTTAAGAGTTTTTGGCTGCTATAAATTTGCACGTGATAAGCCACTTAATGAGGCTATAATTTGTGACGTGGTCACTTGTGAAAAGAGCTATATAGTTCAGTGGGCCTTACCTGGTAGAATAAAAAAAAATGTTTAATAGTAGTTTCGTTTTCGGCAGGCAGTGGCGTGAGCTCGCAATTGCAGTGCTGCACCTCCATGAGTGTACACACGGATTGTAAACAAACCGAATCTTGCACGCAGATTTTTTTGGGGGGGACGTGTCGAACGCAAGAACCGATTTCGAACCGATCGTTGCGTTCCCCCCACCCCCCCACCCCCCCCCCCCACCGTGCTAAACGCCTCGCGCTGCCTCGTTTATTCGTGCAGCAAAAGCTGTTGGAGATCGAGCGGACAAACAAGTGGCTGAAAATGCTCAAGACCTGGGACAAGTACCGGAACAGCGACAAGGTTGTGGCAGAGTCCCCTGCGGGTGGCGCTTTGTTTCTCCACAGCACCGTGGACACTTCCCCCCCCCCTCCCCCCCCCCCAAAAAAAACCAGGCGTCTGAGTCCAGCCTCGCTCTTCCTCTCATTGTTTCCACCGTCCGCCCGCGCTCGCTGTTTCGCCGCTCGCCACTGCGTTTCCCCGCTGGCTTCCACGCTCGCCGGCATGCCGCTGTCGCCGCACGCTTATTATTTATGAACGCGTGCGGTGCTGCACCGCCACAGCTGCAAATTGCGGAAAAGGGGTTTCTCGTGTGTGTTTGTGTTCGTATACAATTGTAATTACTTTATTTTTTTTTACGGGAAACGCATTTTATTGCTGTATTATTATTTGCAAGAATGTAACGTATTCCTACCAAAACAGGTGGGGGTTGGCGAATGGTGTATGACAGAATTTAAATATTTGGCAGTGATATAAATGGAGGGGGGAGAAATTGGTTCCATAATAATGTAAATGCTTTTTGCGTACAAACCGTAATATAAATTACAATGGACGCACGTGTGTAATATATTTTTTTCACTCTTTTGAAATATCAATTGAGTGTCATCGCTGCCTGGGTGGCAATCATTCTTTGGTGTCATCCATAGACTGGCTCATTGTGTTCACGGAGCACGGAAACAATGGGACGCCCATGACAATAATACACAATTGGCTTTTCCATTGTCGAGCAGATGACCAGGTCGCCTGGAATGCACCCAATCTCTTCAGATTTTGGAAGCTAAAGCAGAGTTGTACCTGCATGGAGGCGCTTTTCAATGGGCGACCGCATGACTGCATGCATAGCAAACATTATGGGCTGTGGGCCTACGTTGTAAGCAGCGGAGGGCACTCCAGCAAAATACATTGCTGTAGTGTACTCAGCTTTCAACCAACCCACGCTGTCCAGTGTGATGAAGTATAGTCAACATAATCCCCACAAGCCACACTGCGGTAGGAGGCCCTCATCCAGCAGTGGATTGACAAATAAAATGGGATGCAGCTGTGTTGCTACACCCAGCCGAATATAGATGTCTATGCAACCACTTTTTACTTCCCTGTTTTAGCCTATCAAGACGAGCAACTGATGAATAGAAAATAAACTGTCTAGCGTAAGTTGTGCATCTCCAGGATTTCAAGGCACTGAAGTAATCTAAATTAGAAAGTATTCCAGTGTAGAGTATTAAAATGCCCCATTAATTAATAGCCATTCACAGCCCTTTTCCTATCCACTGCTGGATGAAGTCCTCTGCAAGCTTTGTCGCCTATCGGGGTTATGAGACCATGCGCCACAACGCTGGTCAATGTGGGTTAATGAAATACGGAAAAAAGCTGATGCGGTGAAAAGCATTTGAAATTGAACGTCGGTGCTTTGGGCAGTGTTAGCCTTGGCCGGGAATCGAAGCCCCGTTCGCCAGGTTCATAGCGTAGTGCGTGAACCAGTGCGCCTCCGCTCCACCCAGTTGACCACGGGCGAAATGGCCACGTAAATGTAAAAAGTAAAAATAACAAAAACATAACAATCAGCGGTAGAAAAACAGTTTCGTCCGAGCGGCGGAGTAATCGTCGTCTGGTGTTCCGACAGCTGTCCCGGAGGGTGTACAAGGGTGTTCCGCTGCAGCTCAGAGGAAAGTTGTGGTTGCTGCTGCTAGAGGTGACACGTGCTCACTCCGACAACAAAGGCGTCTACGAGGTTTGCTACTGCTCCAAGCGCTGGCCACAAACCCCGTGCTGAAAGCGAGTGCTGTTCATAATAAAAAAAATTATGTGGCGGTGGTGGCGCAGGGCATGTCCGGCTGAGAAGCAGCCACGCCGCGGTGAATTTTGTGTCGCGTTTTAAGTTTTGATTGACAAAACAATGGGATGTTGCCCTGGTGTGATTGTCAACATGCTAGACTAGTATTCCGGAGGTCAGCGTTTTTTTTTTCCATCATCAACAGAGTGAGCGAAGGAACAAAATGTTCCCTCTTCAAAGGCCCACATCCAGATCGGTATTTTAAGCTCACTGAACACTCGGGGATGGATGCATCCCTGTGATTTGATAAACTGTCAAGAATTTTTAGTCACGATGTGATTCACAACTATATGTTTTTCTTTATGATTACGGTATGTCGTTGCGGTGGTGGGATACTTTGCATGAACACTCGACTTGCCATCCAAAGGTCAACACCGATTGGATCTACCGCTACAGCAGTCGAAGCGATGAGGAACTGTTCCTTAAATCCTCCCTGGCCCTGTCCGCCCTGGGGTACAAATGGGTACGCTCCCGTTCGCCGATCGGTGGGTCGTGTGCAGTGGGGTAAAGTGTGGGTACTCCAAACTCTTCCAAGATGATGAGGCCACCGTGGAAGAGTAGGGGCTGTCTCTCGAGAGCTCCCTCTTACTAGCGTTTGCAAGCAGTTGAAGATTCACACCTTTGCTGAACCAAAACAAAATTTTCATACGGCAGCGTGGATGTTTTAAGTTTAAACAAAAATAAAGCTTCACACTTTCATCATATTATAACACAAAATGTGCATTCGGAATACCCCCCCCCCCCCTCCTCCCCCCGTAAGAGAGCAACCCTGCTTTGCCAGAGAGTGGCACGTGGAAGCAGATTTTTCAAAGCAACGTCTTTCCCAAGATCTCTTGGAGTGACACTTGATCCACGTGCTACGGGGCGTACTTTCCCACACGCGCCCCACAATGCGAGATGTCGTTTCGTTGACAACGGTCAACCAAATCTTTTGTAATACTCAACCTGGCACTTGGCTAAACTACAGATAAAACTATTACTATTTAAACACATTTATTTAACCAGGTAAGGCCTACTTAGCAATATAGTTTTTTTTTTTTTTTTTAGATGCGACCTGGCCACGAATGAAAGCTCAACGAAGTGGCTTATTGTGTGGAAATTTACAGCAGCCAAATACTCAGAACACGCGTTTCTAAATGTGGTGGGAAAAACCGGAAAAACCGGAGTACCCGGAGAAAAATCCACACGAACACGGGAAGAACACGCAAACTCCATATATACAGGCGTCAGGGTCGGGATCGAACTCACGACCCCCTATGTACCGGGCGATGTAGTTGAGACCAATCAACTACATTTGAGAACCCAGTTTAATCACGCGTGGGCATTACCCACATTCACATCCAGGGCCTCGGCGGTGTCTGCTCAAATTCTACGACCCCTGAGCCACCAGGACACCTTTCTGAAACCTCGTCGTGATTGCTTTGCACACCTGCCAACGTCCATCGGCTTAAACATTGCCGCCTTCCCGTGCGCACGGTGCCTGGTGACAGTTTGTGTTAATATGTGCGGGGATGATAGCGGAGCGACGTCTCTACCGCAGTGGAACTATAGCGGTGCTTAGCACAAATCTCTTGCACCCTTTTTTCTCCTTTCTCATTAATGAAGCTGCAAAATTGCGCTCGCCTGCGAAATACGGTCTAGGTACGCGATTAGGAGATAGATTTTAATTCCCTCCCACCGTCTATAATTCCAACGTGCTTGTAACCTTGCTTGATTGAACAAACGTGTTAATTGTTATCTACGACACCATCAACCAGTGAAGTTTGTCGCTGGCCACTTGTCGTTTTGAGCCTGTGCCCAGCGACTGTGTTTCAAAAAACATAAACAAGATGTGTTTATTTTTTGGGTCGTGTCTCTCTTTAAGCCGTATGTATCTTGAACTTCTTTAGCACCGTACGTAGCCAACCGTGCTAATCGGAGGTGCGGGAGAAGGACAACAAACTAAACACAAAAAGTTGTCTAGAGAAATGAGTTTTCAATTTCGATTTCAAAGTGCATGGTTCCAGTGGCTTCCTAATATCGGAAGGAAGAGCGTTCCAGATGTCCGCAGATGTGCATCTGGAAGCACGCGATGCAGTGACCGTCTGCGAGGATGACCGGGGTTCGTGTGATGATGGTTTATGCTCCTTGATGAGAAGTGGAGGTGCAACGACTTATGCCGACTGCTCAAAAAGAAGGCAGTGCCGGTGACATTGGCGATTGTAGTTATGCCGTAATTGTAGAACCCTCGCTGAAACTGAAAGATATGACTAAAAGTCCAAAAAAATATATTTTCATGATCATTACAACCATCATCAGCCCCTTGTGCATCCATTGCTGGATGAAGGTTTTCCCCACATTACCATCCCTCACAGTTGTACGATGCTCACAATCCATCTCACTTCATGCACGCACACACATGAGCCTATTCCTTTTTTTCCATCATCCTGACACTGACAAAAAGAGTCCCATAGAAATAGTAATTTTAACTTAACATGAAACGTAAACTCACGTACATCAACTGGCATAACAATTGCTTGCCGAGGCCATGGAGTTCAATCGTTGATTGAAAAGCAATGGCCTGTGTTCAGTTACAATTTTTATATTTGCCAAAAGGCATAAAGCAGTCTGTTATCCCATTTAGAAAACCATTTTTTAAATGTTCTTTTATGTTGATACTTACTATCAATGGGTCGCAATCATCAACGATGGGCAGCCGGGGCTCAGTAAAATATTTGGGTTGACTTGCAGAGTCAGTGATCATCAGCGATGATCTAGCCACTGCTGGCTGAAGGTCTCCCCAAGCTGTCGCCATCTCTCGTAGTCTTGCGATGCAACAATCCGCCTTGCTTGTGCACAAGTGCCGATCCCATCGCTCCATCTCCACGGCGGGCGCACCTCTCCAGTATTCTCCCTCCTTTGGCTGCCACTCCATTGTTCGTCTCAACCATCGACCATCATCCTCTTGAGTGGTGTGACTCATCAACGCCGACATTATTTGTTCAACAGTCAACAATACGACGTCTTTGACTTGCATATGTCCCTCCGATCCGTGTGTTCCTTCTGTTTCTTCGTGCAATTTCACGCATGCACATCTCTACGCATCATTGCCTACCTCCAGCTCTTCGTTCGAACGCCAGTGTGTGTCAGATCCACACGTCATAGCTGGGAAAGTTTATTCTCTTTGGCACGTTGGTTATTTTGCTTTTGATTCTCAAGTTCACTTCTCCAAAAGGCACTGCCACTTGCTCTCATCCTCTCTCTTATTTCATTAAGTTTTGATCCCTGTCCACCTTCAACGACTGCTCGTAGGTAAATATACTCTTCAGTGTTTTTTTTTCCATTTGTGTGCCCTCCAACAGACGTATCTCCATTTGTTTGGTCCGCTTTCCGTCCGCCCGAGTCTGGCTTTGCTCGTATATTTATTTTGAGCTCAGATTTACAGCTTTCTTTATTACCTTCTTCCGAGAGACAATGCTGATCAAAATTCAACTGGAAGCTCAGCACATTCTTCAATAACATCTCCTTAAAATGGAAATATATAAGCGTAGCAAATTTCTCGTGTAATAATATTGGCCTACGAAAACCAATCTTTTATCTCATTACTTTATTTCAACGATTTCTTTCTCTCCCTCGTAGGGTTCCAGATGTGATTCGCAGATAGCCAAAATGTGTATATAAAAAGGCAAGATTTATTGTATATGTAATGAAAAAACAAAAGACTGAATATTATATTCTTGGTTCTTTCGGTAAAGTCACGTTGAAGGGAAACAAAATAATAAAATATATAAAACAATAAAATTCTCACGACGTTTCGACTGCAACACAAGCAGTCATCATCAGGTGTATATGTGGATAGCCTCATGAACGAGGCTATCCACATATACAAACACAGAGACAATTTTAACCGAGAAGATGGATTCTGGTTTAGCAATCATTGGAAGGATTTGATAAACCATTTCGGGTCTTAATTGATTGTTCATGCTTACGGTGGCTTTCAGACAGCATACATTAAATTTTCGTCTCCCCCCTCCTCTTTTCCGAACATAGATGGACTCGTCCACGTAAACAAACTGTCAAATCGCTCTCCGTGGTGCTAACGTTTATAAATTAATAAATAAATACAAACCGCCACTTCTTTCAAATGTTCTTGCCGTTGGTTTTCACACCTAATGATGACTGCTTGTGTTGCAGTCTAAACGTCGTGAGAATTTTATTGTTTTATATATATTTTATTATTTTATTGTTTCCCTTCAACGTGACTTTACCGAAAGAACCAAGAATATGAATCACTGCAGTCACGAAAGCTTTAAATCAAAACTTAATATTATGTTTTGACTGGGATAATTGTAGGCACAAGAAGCCTAGGAAGATGCCACATTGAGTTCAGAAGCAATTTGAACAATTTGGATGCAACTCGGAGGAGTATGGAATGCAAACTTCTTCAGCAAATATGTACAGGGCGAAATGGAAGGCCATGACCGCCGATGTTGTTCAAAAAGGACATGGCACATGCAGAGAGACATATATAAAACATTTATTTTTCCCATTCAAGGCGGCGTTGTTGACGAATGTGCCGAGTTGCTCGCTGTTATTTCTGCTGTGCACAGCACTGCCAACGCGGCGGCAGCAGCAGCAGCATCACGACCGAATCTAAATTGAAGACGCATTTCGTTAGAACTGCTTTTTGAGTTTAGTTTGTTGTTCTTCCCCCCGCACGTCCGGTTGACTACGTACGGTGCGAAATAAGTTCACCGATACATGCATGCATGCGTCACTTGTTGAAAATTGACTTGCGCTCGCATCTTTCACAGAGGATGCGGAGGCAGGCACGGGAGCGCTCTCCCGACCTTCGGCAAATTGACCTCGACGTCAACCGGACGTTCCGCAACCACATCATGTTCCGCGAGCGCTACGGGGTCAAGTAAGGCCCAGGGAGAGAGAGAGAGAGATTCGTTCGCCCCCCCAGCAAGCACTGAAATTTTTGTTTTTTCCACCAAGTGGGGGGAGGGGGGGGAGTGCGCCAATACGCTGAGCTTCATTGGGCTCGTGAAAACAATTATCAGCAGCCGCGCATTCTCGGTTTTGATTATTATTGTTCCCCCCCCCCTCCTTTTACAGGCAGCAAGAACTTTTCCACGTGCTGGCGGCGTACTCCGTTTACAATTCGGTGAGTCGGGGCGTGTGTATTTTTCTTTGTTTGGCAGTACTGGGCCGGTTTGGGTTGCCTTCGTTTACAGAAAGAGCTGTAAATGGAATTTAAATTGAACTATAAATAAACATGCAAGGAGCGAGCGATAAAACCTTATGACACCGCATGTATAGAAAGCAGGGAGGTAGGCATGCACACAACCAAGGCATATGATCTATTATTTTTTTATTCGTATTTTTTACGTTTAAGTCCAAATGTCAGCTTTTAGCCCTTGAGTTAATGCTGCAGGCTCTAAGGAGGTAAAATAAGTCTCGATTGACACTTTAAACTGCTGGGAATAATAATTCAATTCTTAGCTCTTTCGGTAAAGTCACATTGAAGGGAAACAATACTGTAGTCACGAAAGCTTTAAATCAAAATAATTCAATTCTAGCCCTTCACTGCTGGATGGAAACCTCTCCATTATGTGTCGGTCATGGAGAGTTTGTTGACCGTGCATTATAATTGTGGTCAGTGCAGGTTGGTAAAGTGTTGGCCTAGCACTGGTTGAGATTTCATTCGCCACTGATGTTGGCCGTGGTTATGAATTGAACTTAAGCCACCACTCCTCCAATTTATTTTAAGAATTATAATAATTCGCAGCTAATTTTATATGTAGGGCCTCATGACAAATATGATTCGTAATTAGTTTCATTTGGGTTAAATCCTGAAGTTATAATACCTACACGATTTAACCCAAAATAAACTAATCATGAATCAGTATTAACAGATATGCCACTGCTGGATGAAGGCCTCTCCACATTATTGTTACGCATGGTGGTTGTTTGGCCTAAGTATTTTACTAAACTGGACCACTGCAAGGTTGGTGATGGTGCGGAGGGGGTACCCTGGTTCATATTATCACTCGCCACTGATGTTAGCCGTGACCACGAATTGAAATTCGGGTCACCACTTCCCCCCCCTCCCCCCGAGTTATTTTGATACGAGCTATAAACACCCTTCTCTTTCACAAGGCAATTAAAGATCAGTTGAGGTCGCCCGTAACCGCGATGTGGGAGCCGACGCAGCGAGCAGTAGTTTACATCGATTGGCAATGCTTCGAGGCAGCGTTGATGCAGCCCGAAGTATCGACCCACGAGCCAACGGGGTGTGCAGAATTGCAGAGGAGTTGGGCAATAACCCACGAAGAGGTGGCCGGGTGCCTCGTGGGTCAGAACGCCGAGTTGGTGCCGCCCGGGGAAGGATCCTGGGTTTCAACCTGGGTCTCCCCAAGTGCAGTGAGCCGATGGTCTCGGCCTCGTTGCCAGCAAACCCATCGGATTTGGTTTTAACCCAGCTCTGAGAATTAAAAAAAACACGAACACTTTTCGACGGGCATGCAACGGACGCTCTTTGCAGGACGTATATAAAAGGTGTGATGCCCCTCTTGCGGACACGAAGAGGCCAAGTCGCGTGATTTCAGAAGCGGCTTCTGGGACATCATCTTCGGGGGGGGGGCGGGGGGGGGAGTGGGGGGGGAGCATTGACGCAGCAGGCTAGTGCTCTGCTAGCCACGAAAGCTCTGAGCCGACACGTCCACGTCTCGTGACACGTGACACGATGCTCGTTAACATAATTGGGATATAATTGTGGAGGGGGAAAACACAAAATTGTAAAGCAAAAAAAACAGCATGAGAAAGAGTACCCCTTTAATGATCGCTGCATGGCTCTAAACCAAAGGTAGCCCTGTAAACAGATTTAATCTCTCTTCAGCTGCCATGAGCCACTCATAATTGTCTGAAAAAAACGCACGTGCACACAATTACCCGTTCTGCTTTTGCTTATTTTAACGTCGAGTATGGTAGAGCACAACAAAAAAAACAACAAGGGCCGTCTCGATTTATACAGAGTCTACATGTGACCGGGCATGTCAAGATCTTTTCACGTACGTGAGAGACAGCGTCAAAGAAGAAGGATAAATGGGAAGGGGGTGGAGGGGGTGAGAGCGAGGCCACTTGGAAGAGGGGGAGATCTAACGAGCCCGAGGTAGGGTTCGTGGAAGAGCGTGGAAATGGTGGTCTGCGTGAGGAGACGCGAATTTGACGGACGGCGAGGTGGTGGCAATGTGTTTTTTATTTGACCACGTAAGGCCCTCTGAGCTAATATAGCTCTTTCTTTCGTAGAAGCGGCTCGGATATCACAAATTATACCTCCACGAAGTGGGATATCATGTGGATTTTTGTAGCAGCCAAATGCTGTACTCGAAACGCATCTTTGTAAATGTGGAGGGGAAAACCGGAGGACCCAGAGAAATATCCACACCACCACAGGGAGAACACGCAAACTCCAAATATACAGGAGGCGTCAGGGTCGGGATCGAACCCACGACCTCCTGTATACCAGACGAGATAGTTAACATCTCCGAGCCACCGCGGCGCCCCTGAATCAGTACAGCAAGTAGGTTTATGACTGCATTAATTACTGTCAAAATCACAATATGCAAGAATTCAGTACTTTACAAAGTACATAAATACTCGTTTTTTATTGTAACCACATCAATAACTTTCAGTAGATTCCACCAGTCACATTGGCTTGATAGCATTTAGGTGCAAATGACTAACGTTTTGTTATTTGTGCATGAGTACATTAGAGTGAAACGTTGTTATGTCACCATTATGTGCGCAAACCCTCGACCTAACTTCCCATTTTCAAGTCCCAATTTCTTTCAGATGTTTTTGTTAGGTTAACGGCATGAAACAGAATGGGTTGATTAAGAGTGCAGTTAATTGCTGTAGAATCCCATGGCCTGTCCGTGAGGCAATGAGCGGCGGCGTTGTGGAAGGGGACTGCGTGGACAGCCGAAATTTTTTCCCCCCGTTCAGTAAATCCACCACAAAGCTTCGGATTAATTACTTACGCAAACAATCACGCCCGTTGTTTTTGGCGTTCTCCGTGAGCTCGCATTGGTCATGGTGGAAAAGGTCTCACGACGTAGCTTCTCGCCCCGAGCTATAATTTTCTGACACGTGCATTGTCTTTGTACTGTTCGCCTTTTGGCGTTCTCTGGTCTAACAGGTTGAGATTAGGCCATAAAGAAGGCTGTCTTTGGCGTAGGCCAATCAGTTTCAAAGACAATGCCATACATTATCGGAGTACAGTACAACAATGGATTTTGCTGCACTCCCCTCTGCTGCCTACCGTGTGGTCTTGACCCCACGAGTCACTGGCTACACATTTCAGCCTTGCGCTGTCAAAAGCTCTGCATTCGGAACGTTCGCCACATTGCGCTTTTCTCCCCATCAAAGGTCTCTCACTTCAGCTCGCGGCGATCTCAGCTCTGTCAGAATCTAAATTTGTAATTCACCCTGGAGAAATCCGATGAGCCGTGAAGCTCTTTTTCACAGATGTCCAGTCGTTCACAGATCTCTGTCTGGGTGAGTGGTGAAGGAGAGCTAGTTGCGTTGACCTCGTCAATTAGGGGTGCCACGGTGGCTAGGAGACGTTTTTTCCCTCCGCATTGGCCGTTGAGATATAATTTGTGAGAGCCAGTTCGCTTCTGAAAAAGAGCGCTACAGCTCGGTGGGCCTCACCTGTTAAAATAAAAAGTTTGACAGTAAATGGTAACTCGCCTGCCCCCCTCCATCTCTCACCCTTCCCCCGGCAGGACGTGGGCTACTGCCAGGGCATGAGCCAGGTCGGCGCGCTGCTGCTGATGTTCCTTGGGGAGGAGGATGCCTTCTGGGCCCTCGTCCGTCTCATGAGCAGCAACAGGCACACCATGCAGGGTACCACCCCCCCCCACCCCCCTCTCTTTGTCCCCACCCACTGCACCCCGTCACACACAGGAGGGCCCTTCACTGGTTGTTTGCACACGCATGCTGCTGCTGTTGCTGCGTGGCACTCGGTGGCCAATGCGAAGTGGGCGACAAGTAGGGCTTTGCTTTGCGCCACGGATTGGCGTTTGCGTTGGAACATTCGGCAATGCGACGATGCGCTGCCAGCTCACCGCCACCCCAGTGGTTATGTACAGTTTGGTGAGGCGATTCGAATCAGTTGAAGATTTTGCTTACGTTTTGTTTCGTTTTTACTCCCTCCTATCGATACGCATTTCGTTTTGCCTCGTTTCCACGGTAACATTAGCCACGTGATTCAAATGTAATTCGCGGAATTAAAAAAAAAATCATACATTCTCACGCACATGCTTCAAACGCATGTGATGTCGCGGGATGAAGAATCATTTTATTCATCAATGCACAATTTGTTGTGGAAATTAAAGGCAGTTGACTAATAGGCTGAACTGCTGCAGGTTAATGGCGTTTGGATGCTGAACTAATCTAAACTTTTTTTGTCGCATCTTAATTTGCTAATACATCATCGCGCCCTAGAGATTGCTCCAAGCTACCGATGCAGAACACAGCGACCATTTACACAAAGCTTGGGAGTTTAAAAATGCTTTTTATCACACTGCATCTTACTAATGGAAAACTAAATTTTGATTTAAAGCTTTCGTGACTGCAGTAATTCATATTCTTAGTTCTTTCGGTAAAGTCACGTTGAAGGGAAACAACATTATTATTTTGTTGTTTCCCTTCAACGTGACTTTACCGAAAGAACTAAGAAAATGGAAAACTAGTATTTGGTTTTCGTGATTTCTACATAAATATTGCATTGCATAATGCTCATGCAATACAAACATTGAATTAATTAATTAAAGATGTTAACCTTGATTCTAACTGGTAGATATGTTGCAAGCTTCCACTTTTCAGGATCAACACCATGTCCCATGAAGCCTGTGACCTGGAGTAATATGTTTAATTTAAAGCGAGTGGATGATGAACACAAAATTCCTAAATGGACACTGCTGGCTCCTGGTTGAACTCAGATTAAGGGGAGGTGGCCGGGCAGATCAGAGTGCTAATCCTGTGGCAGGTCACCCCGAGCCGGCCTCCATCGAGAGCCTGGGTTTGAATCCAGGCAGCTGCACGTGATTAAACCAGGCTCTGGAGTGTTAACACATTGTATGGCATCAGTCCGGTTTGCCAAATGACTGCACAAATACAATTATATATATTTTTTGTTATGTATTAATTTAATTGGCTTCTACAGGCATGGACAATTAAACTGTGTGATTAACATGCTACAAACCCTCTTTGAACATTTCATCTCATTACATTACATAATGATGTCGATAGCACAGTTGGCATATAATTGCAGAGAAAAACAAGAGACATTAAAGTAAAATCAAGAGGCTCTGGAAATAAATAAATAAATATGACAAGTATCAGGTGCGGTTACACTCCTGCGTGCATTTTGGCCGTTCTGTTGTATAACACTCCGCTGTGTATTCGGGTTGCACCACGGGTTGTTCAGCACAATGTCCGACGTTTCGTGCCCATGGAGCTTCTTCAGGAACGGAAGCTCCCAGGACGCGGAGCGAAAACACCGGACGTCGTGCCGAACAACCCGACAGCACACGCCAGACAGCTCCGAGATGCAGTCCCCCCCCCCGTAGTTAATAAGAAAAACAGTCAGAAGATCTGATGAGTTCGACGACATTTTTCACGTCAACTATACGCAACAGCCACCTCTCGCGTTTTCCCACGCGCGTGTCGGGGCACGTTTGTGTTTCAATCGCAGCAGTTTAGCTCCGTCGCATTCTCGCCACACCTCTCCATCTCCAGGTTGCCATCAAAATATGGGGGGGGGGGGAGGGGGGGGTGTACTTTGCACTCCAGGCGGGGTAAAGGTCACCGTGTAACGATTGCCGTAGCAAGTCGTATTGCCCTGTTGTTTCCGTGTATGTATGTCGAACTTAGTCCGCACCGCACGTAGCCAACCGTGGTAATCGGAGGTGCCGGGGGAAGGACGACAAACTAGACACAAAAATCGGTTCTAAAGGAATTAGTTTTCAGACTAGATGATTTAAAATGACATAGCTCCAGTGGGTTTCCGAATGTTAGAAGGAAGAGCGTTTCAGACGGCCGCAGAAGCGCATTTGAAAGCGCGCGATGCAGTGGCCGTCTCTTTTTTTCGATGGTTAGAAAAAAGCCGTTGCTGTGATGATGACCGGAGTTTGTGTGAGGGTTAATGCTCCTTGACGAGATCACCAAGGTATTGTAGTTTATTTGTGGCAAGCACTCTATGTGTAATGAGTGCGTGAGTTATATGTGCAGCACACCCGGGTCTCACTGAATATTTTCTGGGCCGCTTGTAGTCTGGAGTAGGTTGCACATGACTAACTAAGCGACCACAGCCATAGTGAGAGGTAAACTTGATGTGGTGTGCCCGGTGCAAAAGTATTTTCCGAACTCCAGACAGACCCGGCTAAAGGTAAGCCCTAGGTACACTGTACAGTGTATGCAAAGTAGGAATAGCAATAGGATGAAGCAAGCATTTAGAAATACACCCCTCAATTAGCGGTGAATTGCGTTTCTCTCTCTCTCTCTGCGTAGGTCTCTTCATGCCAGGGTTTCCCAAGCTCCTTCGGTTTCAGGAGCACCACGACCGCATCCTGAAGAAGCTCCTGCCCAAGCTCAAGAAGCACCTCGTAAGTCACGTGCAGCCGCCAGCCTGCCGGGCCACGCTCGCTCGCAACTCCATCGGAGCTCCCATCATAGCCTCGCGCGTGTTAACATTTAGCGATTCACCATCCCAAATGATTTATTTTCCACGATTCGGGGCGGGGTGGGGGGAGTAACGATCTGATTCAAGAATCGGTTCTCTCTACCCCACGCTTACCATTCTTGTTTGTATTGTTGCTCTATTTTCTGTATCCGTAGAGTGTTGTCCACCCCCATCGTCCTGAGTGTAACACGAGAATATTCTTCGCATATACTCTGCATAAATTGCAAACGACCTTTGCTCAAGCGCACAGATCAATGCACACGTCACATCGCGAGTGTAAGAATCCTGACTCGTTGCGTCGTCACGTTTGCGGTGGTTGAAAGCTGGCGGAGCACGCAGAATCAGCGACTTAGGGATCCCACTGATCCACCGGAGGGCCATTTGTCTTCCAGTGTTGGGATTTGCCTGTAGTCCGTTCCCCTTGTTGTGGCTACCACTGGAGCCTCGTGCACCTTTGGCAATTGCACAGGAGTGCAATTTGGGACCCTTGATCCTAATTTTAACACGTAGGCTTTTGCGACCAATATGATCCATAATACAGGTTTATTTTTTTGTGTTAGATCGCGCAAATATAAATGTGTCGTTAAACCGGCCACCACCCCGACACCTGTATTATGCAAAATCCTTGTGTTTGCTGCCCATTTCTCACGATGACATAAGGGCCCTGGATTAGGCAGCTTCCACAGGCTGTGGTGAGAGTTGCATAAGTTGCGCGTTCCCGCCAGCTCAGGGTGTAACGATTTGCGCCTCTCGCGATTCCGTTGTCACGAATCGAAGTCGATGGACGAATGCGTCAATTTGTTTACGTTGCCGTGAACACGGCGGCCACGAGCGGCTGCAAGGGAGCCAACGTGGACCCGCGAGAGAAATGAATCGACGGGCATCAATTGTCACCTGGAGGGACGCGCATCCTGCACACAACGATCGATGTTAACCTCGCGCATTGTTACGCCCCCGTCAGCGCAACGCCGCGAACAGGAGGAGGACTTGGAGGCATTTTAAACTTGGCGCACCTCGGGGCCCCGTGCACCGTCGGGGCATCGACTCGCTCTGCCAACGTGCGTGGCCGGCGGTGGGTCGTCACGGCGGCCGCAGCAACCGGGGCGCGCTCGCCGCGGTCCCTCGTGTAAGGGGTTTCTCGTCGTGAGGCTCCTTTCGTCTCTCTGCGCTTGCAGGACTCGGAGGAGATGTACACGACTCTCTACAGCACCAAGTGGTTCCTGCAGTGCTTCCTCGACAGAGTGAGTGCGGCGAAGAACGAAAGGTGGCGGCGGTAGCAGCGACGGTGGTGGCCACGGCGGGAGTTCGGGGACGAGCGTGCTGGCGGGTTCAACGGGGTCGCGGGGAAACACCCGACATGTGTAATCGTTCCGATTACATATGTGTACGTCATCGGTCTGTCTTCAGGTTCCTTTCCGATGACGTACGTGTACGACTGTGTAACGGACGCGTACGACTGTGTAACGTACGTCGTCAGAACGGAATCAGAAGTAAAAGGCCGTGCGGGAGGGCGTATGGCACAGTATGGCGCCGGCTATCTTAGCGCGCGGTCGTGTCGCTACAGTTCTCTGCGGTGAGTGCAATGTCTTTAATATCAACGGCGCTACGCCCCTTTCTAAGTAAAATGAACGCCAACCGCTCGCGCGTTCCGGGATTCAGCGGTGAACGGGATCCCCAACCCTGCAGCTTGCAGACGTCTCGGAATGGGAAAGGGTTACAGCAGCCAGCATTGTCCGTCCACAAACGCCATACAGGGCCCCACGACGCGCACTTGGAAAGACCGCCGACCGCTTGGTGATCGTCGAAATAAATAAACGTGTGAAGTCTTTCTGAAAAACTAGCCGTGGACCAGTTTACAGAGTTCATTTATAAACAGAGTACATCGACTGTATAATATGGGTGGAGTCACGGCGCATTAGTTAGCGCACTGTGCTTTTAAGTCTGGCAACCCAAGGTGGATTTCCGGGCCGCGGCTAATGGCGAGTGGGGCGAGCGATATCGAAGCCGATCGCCCGCCCGATCGGAGTCGCGAAGTAAATACAAACAACCTCCGTGATTAACACGGCGCGGGGAAACCTTCATCCAGAAGTGGACTAAAAAAAGGGCTGTAGATCATTAAACGCTCAATCATTGCATGTGCATATTTATTTCTGACATCTGAACTGGTCCTATGTCTTCGCTTCATTAACCCGCACTGACAGGCACGGTGGACTTGGGCTGAACGACCCCTCAGATCGACGTCGAATGGGGGGGGGAGTTTTCGTCCGACAGTGCATTGTCAAAATGACTTAATTATTATTTAATATTGCTGATATCCAAGCAGAACAAAACACCCAGAACATTTTGTCAGCCACTGATCAGAACTCATAAATATGCAGTCTCGGAGCATTCCTTACGAAGTGACACATCATTTGACCCTTGTATCTTATTACTGACTTGAAATTACAAAACTCGATCGGCTAGAATTTCTCAGCTCAGCATCGTGTATGAACCACGGTGGCAGTCAACACACGAGCGCGCGAACAGAGTATGTACTACTGTACGGTCTGGTCTGGCTCGTTTTGCCCGGTACCCTGCCAATCGTCATCAAACTCTGAATATCACCAGTTGCCAAAACACAAGTGCAGTTTGGGGGTAATTACACCTGGGTGGGCCAATTCTTTTACAGCCTCTAGTCGTGGAGATGGGTGTGGTTGGGGGGGTTGGCATTGTGCCTCAACAGGTTGTTCCAGAGTGCATGTTGTGTCAGGAACGAAAAGCGAGATTACAATGTAGGCTCACAACGTACCAAACAGTGCCATCTTCTGGTCTAACTCTTACATGGACGAAATGCAACAGACAACCGCTCAACATTCAGTCGATGTGGGCACAGGCAAAATATTTTTGAAAAGTTGCTACCCAATCCGACATGGAACAAAAATAATTGTTATAATTGTCAATAAAGGTGAATTTTGCGATAATCCAATGTAATTAATATGTTTTTTCATAATCCATTTTTACCAGCCAAAGTACATTATCTGTTCTCCCGAAATATATACTTCTAGTGGTACCAAATTTTGCTCTGGCCCATGGAACCAGATGCTGTTTTGGGTCTTTGAGTACATTAACCTCAAATTTGAACACCATGTGAGTACAATGCATATTCAGGAGATAAAATGCAATATTACCTCGAAGTCAAGAGATTGAGATGAACGCGGTACAGTGTTTAACGCTAAGGTATGGCGGTTATGCATTAACTAGACTCTATTTCAGCTGCCTGCACCGTTACTTTGAGTTATTTGACGAAAGCTTGCAACGATTGTACAAAGACTCGACCTTGCGAAGCGCTTGAAGTTTATTCGTGAAGATTTTTTTTCTGTCCCCAAAATGCTTCGTTCTTTCAACGCGTCTAAAACAACGACCCCCCACAACGCGGCCTATGGGCGCACGTTGCGGAACGCCGACCCGCAGGTCGCGAGGGTCACCTGACCGCTCCCGCGCCTCCCGTGACCCCTTTCTCGTCAATCTAACTCGGGCCGTGCGTGCAAACCTTCTACGTCTTTCTTTTCGCTCTGTACGCATCGCATTTCTACGCGACGCGCACGGTGACTCTCATTCGTAAATGGATACAAGTGCCCCGTACGTGCGCAGCTTTATCTGTAGAGCGTGCCGATTGTGACCGCGATAAACACGAGAAGCGCTTTTCAAGATAAAGGGGTTGGCCTCTTTTAGGGCGGCGCTGCCGCGGTTGTAATGGGTTCAGCGCGGTTCGATGCGTCGGCGCCGCAGTTGAATCAGTGGTGCAAAAGCTTCCTAGACCGCCTTCCGCCTCCGTCCACCCAGAGGTATAAAATGGGTTCGCCGCGGTTAGTCGATCGTCGGGGTCGCGTGTCGCGAGGCAAAGCGTGGGTACTCCCACCATCTTCCCCACGGTTTCTGGATGGCGTTAAGGAGTCGGCCAACACACCTCCTGCGCAGGGGCTCTCCAGGGCTCTGCCTAATGGAGGCCAATCCTGCCGACAGTGGCGTGAGCAGGAAATCGCAACGCCGCACTTTTACGTTTGATGCAATGCACCTGCCCGCCGCCCCCACAAACAGACCCCGTTCACGCTGGCGCTGCGGCTCTGGGACGCTTATATCCTGGAGGGCGACCGCGTCATGACAGCGATGGCCTACACGACGCTCAAGCTGCACAAGAGTGAGTAGCAGGGCCCCATGGGAAATGTATTTTGTCCGGTCCGACTGCCACTGTCAACCGCGTATTGAAATACAGTAAAATGCCAACCTCGTTCATGATACATGATTCTACGATAAAAAAAAGAATCTATTCCTCGAGTTTCCTGGCTGGCTGGGCTCCTCTCTACCCCAACAGTAACTGTTGTTGGTGGCTGCGGGCCATTGCCACCAAAACTCGCTGGGTAACTGGCTGAACCGGGTATCCCGTTTAGCAAACATTGATTTGAAACGACAGGAGCTCAGAAGACATAATAAGGGGTTGGTACCATTTGTTCTCAATAACAAGACTTCATTCTGAAATATTTATATATGGAATTCCCTTCCTTCTATTTTCCAATCTTGCAACAAACGATGACAACTTAGATAGTGCTTTTTGTTGTTGTTAAAGTTTTAGGACTTTGAGCCTGCGCTTGGTTACTCTGTTTAAAATATATCCACGTGTCATCTATGACCAGCAAAGCACCGCTACCGCGGTGTTGCACGGAGGGGCGCAGACCATCACAGCTGAGTTTCCATTTTCAGCATTGCTGCACGACATGGCTTTGAGACTTCCCAGTTAATATGCTTTGGCGGACGGGGTCCGTGGCATTCATCCGCGATGACCTCTACGTGTGACCTCGTCCAAGGCAGTAGCCGTCCATCGCACGGCAGATGCGGCTGTATTTTACACCAGCGAAATAATTACGAACATCCCACAGTCACCAATCTCGTACCACGGACCACATATTTACTCCGCTGCCCACTTCGCTCATTCTCCGGCGGCATTTCAGATATTAAACAGGCCACTGCCGAAGCTGTCCACTGGCTCACCAACCTTCCACGTGAACATGTAAAACAGTTCAGTTCATTTTTTTTGTCGTATAGCCCTGTGAGCCATTCGGCTCTTGAATCGGGGTACAAACACAACAAACAAAAAAAACACGAACAAGAAAAAACATCTTAAAGTGACTATGTGACTGTGCAAACAGAAAATCCATGGAAAAAACAGCAAAATATTCTTGAAAAAAGTACCGTACACCAACGCTGTGTGCAAAAAATCCCAGTAGGATGCAAGTCAAACAACAACAACCACAAGAAAACTTAGATTAAGGCCATCAGTCTAACTCCGTACTACAACAAAACAAACATGTCCAAACCAAAAAACTTTTCGAAATCACCAAAAAATAAAGCCATAATTGCAACGCAACAAGGTCATTGTCGGCAGTAATGGTGTTTCACGTGTCTCAATTGCGTTTAATTCATCTCCTGGTCAAATAAATTATATTGACTGTTCAACCCCCACCAGAGAAAAGAAGTAGCAGCAAGCGAGTTATTTTCAATCTCATGCGACACCCCCCCCCCCACCATCCATTTGTTTCCCGCATGCGTCACACTGGCCGCGTGCGTTGCGTGCGTGCCTTTGTTTGCCAGAGCGGCTGATGACCATGGGCATGGAGGACCTCATGGAGTACCTGCAGGACAGCCTGACGCAAGACTTCATGTACGAAGACGACTTTGTCCTGGACCAGCTGCAGCTGTCGGTGACGGAGCTGCGCCGGATGAAACTCGACGTCCCTCCCCCAGGTGACCCCCTTCCCCCTCGACCCGAGCCGCCCCCCCAGCCCGCTACAACCCTTCACACCATCACGCCACCTTCCATTCCTTCACGCTCGCTCTCTCGCTCACTCGCACGCTTGACGTTAAACCAACATCCACCCTCGAGGAGTCGTTCACGTGTCACTTCATATATTAGGGCGCCGCGCTGGAGAGATGTTAACTCCGTCAGCTGGTATGCAGGAGGTCGTGGGTTCGACCCTGACCCTGACGCCTGCTGTATATTTAGAGTTTGCGTGTCTGACTCTCTCTTTCTCTCCCCGTGGTCGCGTGGATTATTCTCCTGTTGCTGCCGGTTTTCCCTCCACATTGAGAACCAATGTATTTGGCCTCTATAAATGTCCACGTGATAAGCCACTTCGTTGAGCTATTTTTGTGGCCAGGACACTTGGTAAAATACAAAATTGTTTAGTTTAGTTTTAGTAAAAATTTAAATAGTTTAGTTTTATAGTTTAATTTACCTATTGGACTGCATTGGCAGTGGTGCGTAAACACAAGACTCAACGTAGCCCGCCTTCGCAATCGTTTCACACCGCCTTGTGACTGAATGATGCACATGAAATATTTTCGAAGGTATCCTATCATACATTTTTAAAGAATTCTAATTATACAGCAGTTGCAGCAAGGCCAAGCAAACTATACACACACTCACTGTGAAGTGTGAAGATCTGAAGATCACGGAAGCTTTTCGTCTCTTGGAATGCACTTCACCTTTCACGTCACTCAAACATTCAACGGCACAGCTCAAACCGCCGTCTAATTATCATTCATTAATAGTGTATGGTAACCTTCGTGGACGTTCTGTGTATTTTTCAGTTTAACAGCATATTTGATGACGAGGGTGGTAGGGTTATTAGAAGCACGTCCACCGTGGAGATAGAGCGATGAAATCAGCTCATGTGCAGGTGCTTGGGTGGATCGTTACATCGCAGAAACGTGATAGAGGTGACGACGATTTGGGGAGGCTTTAATCCACCATTAGATTGACCGTGGCTGACGATGACGATGATGACGACGACGACGGCGGCGATGATGAAATAGACTGCGGTAACATTCCTAAACACGAAGGCAGCACAATGCGTTCACGCCATTGCAGGGTTTTCTCAGTGTAACACTCTGGGGCAGGACAACAGCGCCCGGTGGTTTGTGAACACTTCGTCAAACTCACATTCGAGGCGGAAAGATGCCAAGTCGTACGAACCGCCATTCGTCGGCGGTTGACAGCATTACGGGGTCACCGGGTGCATTATTTTTCTTTAATACACACGCATCGATAACAGCTCAATGCTGCGAATTTGCGTCAAGCATTGCCACCTTTACTCCGGTCACTTCGGTGCTTTGCTTTCGCGGTGTCTAAAATTAACCTCACTCGCGCCCTTCTTCTGTTTGCACAAACAGTCAGCAGGCTCTTGACCCTGCCCCGTGTTCTCTGCCGACGTTACAGCTTTGGCTGGTGGTAACGAACCTTTCTCAAAAATCACTCTTCCCTTTCCCGTTCCTCTAACGCTCGTGGGTCTTTCTCCCCCCCCCGCCGCCCCCACAACCGCCGCCCCCACAACCGCCACCCCCACAACCGCCACCCCCCGTGTGGCTTGGGGGGGGGGGGTTCATGGACATGCAATGTCCGAACCTCGCCGCGAGTTTGGCCCGAGCTGACTTTCTCCTCCTCGCATCTCTTCTCCCCCTTTTTGCTCTTCTCGCATGCTGTCTTGACGGCTTGTCCGGCTCCCCTAGTTGGCGGATCGACCGCCCCCAAGGTCACTAGTGTTTAAATCGCAGGAGTCCTTTGCGCGCAAGGTATTCCCAAACGCTTCTCACAAGCTGTTTTTTTTTGTTTTACTTCGGCGGCACAAACTAACATAAATGTATGTTTTATACGTAACGTGCATGATTTTTAGTTTTTTTGTTTCGTTGACATTGTGCTCCATGGTTTGCGCTGAGGTGAAGGGGCAGTTCCACAAATTCGGCAAGCTCAAGTTAAAATGTAACAATAATTTAAATAACACATTAGGGGAATCATTTTGAAGGTAAATATTGAGAGTTTTAGGAAACGGCTCGTTGATGGAATAAGTCGATGAAACCGAACGCACCGGCATCATCACGGTGTGGATAAAAAAAAATCTTGTCCGAGTACGTCCGACTCTGCGATGTTTTTAATGAGGATTTTTCCCCTTCTCGGAAGAGGTTGACAAGTGATTTCTACACAGTCCTATTTGGTTGACAGACCTGGTGGCCCAAGTGAGAAAAACCAATTAATTCGTAAAATAATGATTACCGACATTGGTAGTTTGAAATGTACAACCGAAATAAACATGGAACTGCTCTTGAATGGGAACGATTCATCTACTGCATGATGAAATCAACATTTACGTATATGACACCATTGTCTGAGGTGTATTTGCCATCTCTGAAATAATTAGCATTCACGATATAACGTCCGCATGACATTTTTTGCTGATAACACTGTTTGTGAAGCACGCCGTAAAAGCGAACGTAAAATTGATTCAAGAGCCTCCAAATCATCTCAACTGCTTTGCCCTCACCATCGTTTGCAGGTAAAGTGGAAGACGGGTCGATTAAGTCGCGTCAGAAGGACGGCACGCAGCCGTCGAGCGACTCGGTGAGACGAGAAGAAAATGGGAAGAGCAAGTCCGTGAAGGCATCGTCTCGACAGCCCCGCAGTCCCTCTGCGCAAAAAGAGGGGCCTTTGGAGAAGAGGTTGAGCAAACAGAAATCCGCGCGTGGAAAACCAAACAAACCGCCTGGTCAGCGCCAGGAGGAGGCCTCGGAGGAAGCGACCGCGAACAAGGCGTCGGCGGGCGACAGGCCGCCCAGGGAGCACACGGCGGCGTCGAGAACAAACCGCGACCGGAGCGACGAACGTGCGCCGGAGCCCGCGGCCAAAAAGCCGGCGGAGAGCTTCGTCATGCGATCCTTCCGGCGCCGGAAGCCTAGCGCCACACAGAGGGAGAACGGCGCGCAGGATATGGGGCCAGGAGCAGCAGCAGGAGGAGGAGAACAAGATGCCAAAAACGCCGACTTCGTTGCCCCCAGCTGGAAGAAGCCCGTGGCCGGAAGCGCCGGCACGCGAGGTCCTGGGGCGCGCTCCGGGCCGGAGAACGGCGCGGTCGTGAACGGGAGGCCGCCTGCCGGTGGCGGCGCGTCCACCGCGAGGCAGCCCCTGCACCCCAGGGCGGTGGTGTCCGTCGACTCAATCCGTCGGCAGAAGGAGCAGCGCAAGGATAACGTCTCCTATTACGACAATTTGACGGAGGGCGAGGCGGCCGTTATAGACAAGCGGCGAGCGCGCATTTACTCCAGCGATTGGTCCGTGAACGATGACCTACACGAGGGAGAAGGAGACAGGAAAGAGAACCGGCTGTCTGGACATTACGGGAGAGAGGCCCAGCCCGTGGATGCCAGTCCTGAAAATCATCACGCTCCGCGTAACACGTGGATGCAGAATGGGGATGACCTCTTCCCAGGGAGTTCTCGCAGGAGGCAGCCACCGCCGTATGAGAAAGCATCCTTAGCACCCTTCGCAGGCAGTGAGAACATGCCAACGAGTCCACGGTTAGCCTCGGGCGACTTAACTCTCCCAGGAGCTCAGTGGAATTCAAATAGTAATTTAGCCGTTCATCAGGAAGGCCCCTTGCAAAGGCCACAGGTGATTTCAAATGGTCCTTCGAGCCCCAGGTCACCTGGAATGTATGGGAAAACAGCTTACGCTGAATACCCAGACAGCACCCTGGCAGGTAACCAGCGAACCAGCAGACCGCCTCCTTCCTATCCACACCAACATCACCAATACCCCCAATACCACAATCCACAGACATCTGTCAGACATCCGCCGGCATATAAGGACGCGCGAGGCGTGCAAGGCGCAGCCAATCAGGTACCCTACAACCACGCCGACATCATTACCCCTGCGGGCTCCACATCCAACCTGCGGCCCCAAGGGCGGCAACTGCCGATCTACCAAACACCGCCGGGTTACCACACCAAGGAGGCGATACCGCGGGATCTGGCGCCGCCACCGCCTTCGGATTCGACCGTCACCTCCGCCGCCGTAGCCGTGGGGGGAACTCGCCAGTCCAAGCAGGACAACATCTCCTCGTACATGGCAGCGGCGGCGGCGTCGGCGTCACGATCGCCACGGGAATTTCCCCTGCCACCGGCGGGCGCACTCGCGGACAATCGTCAACCCCCGTCTCTCCGGTACTCACGGCACATGGCGGCACGCTCCCCGACCGGGGGGCCGCCCATGTTCCACCAGCCGCAGCCGCAGCAGCAGCAGCAGCAGCCGCTCGTCGCTCACGGCGCCCGGGGCCAGCGGCCGCGTCTCGCCGACGCCCCGCGGTCTCCCGGCGTCGATCAGCGGGCATGGGGGGGCGGCGGTGGCGGCGCGGGGTTCTACCAGCCTCCGCCAAGCCCGCAGAGGCCACCGCCGTTGCCTTGGGCGCACGAGCAGGGTCGACGCGGCCCGGCACAAAGAAAGGCCGTGCCTGCCCGTAACTCGGCAGAGCCGATCGCCGTCAAGTCCGCGGGCTCTGTTGAATCCCTGCTGATATAGAGCGACAACGTGCAGTTTGCCCGCGGTAGAGGTGTTTTTGTTTTGTTAAAGCAACGTTTGTGGCAAGAGTCGCCACCTTTTTGAGGTACAAAAAGAAAACTGGTACATACCATAGGAAGGGGGTGGTTTTTCTCAATACCGAAAGGGAGAACTATAATACATAAATGCATTGTCTTGAGTGGTGCATTATTACACAGCTGAAGACTTTGCCCGATTTCCCAAGACGACTACCTCAGTAAGAGGATGTCCTGGGAAAACCAGGACAGAAAAACCAGGATAGGTGGCAACCCTCCTGTGTGTATGTGCCTTGCAGAAGTTGTGGCTGCCCTGTGGTCTGTTTGAAAGTGACTTTGTGCTGAGGGATTTCTGCTGCTTCAGATATCAGTTCGTTTGGCTCTGCTGCGGATAACAATGGTGGGGGTTTTTTAAATTCAAATTCGCGGTGACTCATTCGCTTGGAACGACAAACGCAGCGATTGGAGGGAGAGGGTGGGGGGCTATGACGTCATCACGAAAGTGTTAAATATCCCACGAAGCCTGGTGTCCCTGACTAACTTGGGATTAAGAAAAGAGACTCCGAAATTAACCCGTGTTTTAAATTTTTATCTGGACACGTGAATGTCACGTGTGAAACGCGGGTAACACGTGTAAATTGAAGAGTTTATTTTTAAATACTTTTGTAAAATGTTGGAAATAAAATGTAAAAATTTGCATTTTGTTTACATTATAGTTAACCTGTGGTCTGTTTTGGAGAGAGAAAAAACACTTTTTAAACTCTAAAATAATCATTGTTTTAAATTTTGGAATGGGTGTAAAAAGATTGTATTTTTCACGTACTACCTGTGTACACTGGAATTGTGCATAAACTGTATTTATTGTATAATACTATATGCAAATGATAACAATTGTGTCACTTTCTGCTAAAGTTTCTAACTTGCACATCATTTACGGTGCAGCAGTGGCTGAATTTATTTTTGCAAAATAATAAGTTGATTGTACGTATTACCGTCGCTACGTTTGACTCTCGTTAATGGTTATCAGTTACTCCAGGGTTTTTTTTCCAAACTGTTGGATACATTTCCATCATCGGACGTGTTCCATTTCAAAAGAGATGTCTAGAATATTCAACAAGAATGTTTTTTTTTTTCTATCAAGCCTATGTGCAACCTTCATAATTGTTAAAATATAAAGCGTGTACAATTACAATTGTGTTTGAGTCCGTCAAGATTACCATCAGCAAATGTTTTAAAGCAAGCAAACTCTCTTGACCGGTTTTAACCTTCTGGGTCTCATCAGCAGTGAGACATCTTCATTGTTTCTGAATTGCGAAATGTTATTTTGCAAAATATGACACTCCATTTTTGAGCCACAATTGCATAAAACATCTGAAGTAACATTTCCCTTGACACGGATTTAAATAGCAGCTCAGGGAATTAAGGCGTTATATCCAACTGGCCACAGATTATTTGGACTTTAGGCTAAACAATACTGGAAATATATTGTAGCTCCAGGCAGGCTTCGAGGCACCAGAGCAGAATCCGGATCTTCTGGGACATCAGACCCCTTGCATAAACTAATTTAGCAGAGCATGAGCTAATAATAATTATAATTTACAGCTGCTAGTCAATCCACTGTTAAGATAACACTCGGCACTGATGTAAGTACGGATCTACAATTCCATGATTCACACTCATTGCAAGCGATAGAGCGGGCATGCAGTAAATTTACTTTAATAACCACTTTATATGTCACTGCGTGATTTGTTACAAATCAAATATCCGTGCAAAAATACATGTAGTTTAAGCACACTCAATCAACGGTGTATGCTAGGCTCAACAAACACCCCGCTGCACAATATGGATTTTAAAAAAGTACACGATATACGTACAATTTAACCCACGTGTATTCCTCAAAATTGCTCCACACGCCCAATAAAATATATCCGGGTAAGGCGGCAGCGTTGCACAACTGATCGTCGTGCGGTAATGATGGAGGAGGAGCAAAACTGCACGCGCTCTTTCCCAAAGCCCTCTCGTGGCGAACAGACCTCGACAGTGGCATTGGACTCTTGAACATACTTCTGCGAAATGCAATAGAATTAAGCAGACAACAAATCATGATTCATAATAAAGGTTTTTGGGTTAGATCGCGTTATTGATAAATGTGTCGTAACCCTCCACCACCCGACACGGCCAATCAGCAAAAAAAGTGTCACGTTGACAAAAGACAAATAATTCACTACTTTAGCCCACCGGTGTGTTGAAGAGTGAATCCACAACATTTACAGTTTGAGTACGACGTTTCGCTGGTAATTACATCCAGCATCATCGGGCAATTCGCCAGAATGGTAAAGCCCTCGCTTGCTCTCGGTCTTAAATAGAGCAGCAGGGTGACGTCATCATTTAACTCATTTCAGGTGCAGTGATTTGAGGTGGAGGGGGGGGGGAGTATTGTAATTATGTAATCGATTAGTAATCAGTCAATGGTTATGATTAGTAATGAGTTGTAGATTAGTAATTAGTTGTAATGTGTGTTAGTGATTATATGCTATGTTAGTAATCCGTTAATTAGTATGTGTTTCCCCTATAAGGAATTGTAATATGTATTATTTAATAATACGCTTCCAGGACGCACTAAGCCTATAGCTGTCAGAGCGATTAAAGTTATTTCTATTCCTCTCAATTTCAATGGATTCTCTAATTAGTCTTTGCAAGTAATAATTAGTTTTACACAACACTTCAACGTTATCAAAATCAATTGAGTGTCCTTGTTGACAAGCATGTTCTGCCACTGCCGACAGTTGTGTTTGAGATAATTTAATATTTCTTTGATGTTCTTTTAGTCTTACGCTGATGTTACGTCCCGTCTGTCCAATATAGCATCTGCCACATAAACAATTAATCCGATATACACCTTCTGTATTATTAAATAATACATATTACAATTCCTTATAGGGGAAACACATACTAATTAACGGATTACTAACATATCATATAATCACTAACACACATTACAACTGATTACTAATCTACAACTCATTACTAATCATAACCATTGACTGATTACTAATCGATTACATAATTACAATACCCCCCCCCCACCTCAAATCACTGCACCTGAAATTAGTTAAATGATGACGTCACCCTGCTGCTCTATTTAAGACCGGGAGCAAGCGAGGGCTTTACCATTCTGGCGAATTGCCCGATGATGCTGGATGTAATTACCAGCGAAACGTCGTACTTAAACTGTAAGTGTTGTGGATTCACTCTTCAACACACCGGTGGGCTAAAGTAGTGAACTAATTGTCTTTTGTCAACGTGACACTTTTTTTGCTGATTGGCCGTGTCGGGTGGTGGAGGGTTACGACACATTTATAATTAATGCGATCTAACCCAAAAACCTTTATTATGAATAATATTGGTCGCGAAAGCGTGCTACGTGTTAAACTAACAAATCATGATCTTGCCACGTGGAGGCGCTGTAGCTTACGGGGTAGGACTCGAAGCAGATGCATTTGATCTTCAAGTGTCTGAACTAGATTTGAAGCTTTCGTGACTGCAAGGATTCATACTCTGTTTTTTTCGCTAAAGTCACGTAGGTAAAAAATAAAAGATAAATAAATGAAAAACAACTAAATTATTTATTTTTTTACCTACGTGACTTTACCGAAAAAAACAAAGAATATGTCTGAACTATTTAAACTAAACTTTATTTTTTTACCAGGTAAGGAACCACTGGGCGATGTAATTATTTGTTAGAAGCGACCTGGCCACAAATGATAGCCCAATGAAGTGGCGTATCAAGTGCAAATGTATAGCAGCCACAAACTCTAAACGCATGTGGATTCTATATGTGGAGGGTAAAACCGGGGGACTCTGAGAACAATCTACGCGACCGCGGGGAGAGAGACACGCGAACCCCAAATCTACAGCAGGCGTCAGGGTCGGGATCGAACCCACGACCTCCTGTCCACCAGGCGAGGTAGTTAACATCTCGCCACCACAGCGCCCTGAATAATTTTGCTTGAGGAATGCTGTTTGCATGTGTAAAGTAGTGTAGCTGCCTTGAGGGCGAAGCGTAAAAGACAAAGGTGCGACCCTGCAACTGCTTGCGTACGTCACTGCTGGCACAAGGAGCTTCTCTGAATTGATAAGTTAATTGGTCTACTCTTCCATGCTGGATATACGTCTTAGACGAGGTGGGAGTACCCACACTTGACCCCACCTCACACGCGACCATTACGTTTTGCACGTGTAACACGCAGACCGAAAACATGAAGGCTTCTTCACAATTCCAGCAAATCGCCAGCGAAACGTCGTACTCAAATTGTCAATATTGTGAGTTTACTCTCCCAGCACACCGGTGTGCTGAAGTAGAAACTAATTGGCACTTTTTTGTCGTTTGTCAGCGTGACACTTTTTTTTACTGATTGGCCGTGTCGGGTGGTGGAGAGTTGCGACACATTTATAAATAACGCGATCTAACCCAAAAACCTTTATTATGAATAATATTGGTCGCGAAAGCCTACGTGTTAAACTGGCACTTTTTGTTTACGTGACAAATTTGACTAATTGGCTGTGTCGGGTGGTGGCAGGTTCACGACACATTCATATTTACGCGATCTAAACCCCCCCAAAAAACCCCATTGTGGCATCGCCTCTGGCTGAACGTGACAAGGCGTGCGAGTCGATGGTGGTGGTGCTTGTGGAACAATGCTGAACGAGCTACATCCTGGGACCCTCCCTGGCCCAGTATATCAAAATATAGGAATAGGTTTTACCGTTTCTGGCAATAAAACACCAAACTTAAACCTTTTGCAAGGAATCGTGTCTACATTAACCACACATGCTTGTTGGTGAACATGCCACCAACGAGTCTGTTGAGGCCAGACGGACAAATCTCTGTCTTGTTGACAGCTTGGAGTGTCGTGCGTTCGGTTCGCTCGTCCAGGGTGTCGTTTCTTTCAGAGGTAGGACGGAAGGATATCAAACCAAAACCTTCGGCGTGACCTTGTGTAAGACAGAGGCGTGGGGGGGGGAGCCCACAGGGCAGCGTTAAACAAACATTACACCGAACACGGAAACAATAACCAACCGGTGGGCTCTACATTTGACTGTCATGAATTTGGCTCTCGTTCGGTGGTTCTTCTAAGGCCCGGGAGCCACTGGCGACCCCCCCCCCCCCCCTCACAATACACAAAGAGTGAAAACCACCCCGCCATCATCATCATCATCGTGCTGCTGCTGCTGCTGTCAGCAAGTAACCTGTTTGTGTGTATCTGTGTGGCGCATTTTCCACAATGAGGTGTCGCAAGCCGCTCAAATGGTCCCAAATGTGTGGCGGCCCTCGCACTGCTGATGTCTTATCACTGCTCTAGTGTTACAAACGGCCGTGTCAACCTCACCCTTGACTTAAGAGTTTAGAAGACTGGGCAACAGGATGCTTATTAGTCGGGGGGGGCTCAGCACTCCCCAAGATCCCCCCCCCCGCCACCTTTCCTCATTTTCCACTCAAAAGAAAAATCACGCAATTGCCGGCAATGAACCTGACATTTCATACAGGCCACGAGATAAAAGTTGGAATTTAAACGGCACATAACTCGTTTGTGTGTGTGTGTGTATATAGTCAGGCGTGGTGCTGGCCACCCAGCCCCTCGTGTGCCGTTCCGGCCTTAACAGGTGCTCGCTAACAGGACCCAAGTCTGTAAAGGCTATATAGTGGGAATCTGTGTGCGTATGAAGTGGTGGGGAGCGGTAGCGTAGCGGTTAGAGCGCTGCGCTACTGAACCTGGCGACCCGGGTTCGATTCCCACTCACGGCCAACACCGGTGACGATCATCAGAACCTTGTCCTGGACCTCCCCTAGGTCGACTCAGCCAAAAATGAGTACCTGGTGCGGTGTGTAGTAAACATCGCCACTGGGGAGACAAAGGCGGCCGGGCGTGATGTGTGCGACCCACCTACTCGCGTACCACAGTGCCGGCCTTCATCACTGCTACCCTGACAGCACTTGCCCCAGAAGTCTGTTAAGAGGCTCTTTGTCTGTGTGTGTATATATATCCGTCGCGCATGTTACACAATGAGGTTGCCACAAAGCCGCTCCCAGAGTAAGAGACGCTCGCACGCACAAAGCATCCCCAACGCTGTACATGACCGACTGCGTCACTTGGAATTTGGACCCGGGCAGCAGCGCACAATGGGGGTGGGAGGCCTACAGCACTTGCGGTACGAATTGGTTTTGTTTTGTTAACATCCACCGCGGAATGTGCAGGAGATGGCGCACCTGGGTAACACCCCCCCCCCCCCCCGTCTTACAGGGAAATGTCAAACTCCACTTCTTGCCACCCTCACACCACGCAGGTTTTGTCGATAGCAAGAAGGAGTTTTGGGGGCAAGTCATATTAAGAGAGCAGTTCTTAAGAAAATACCAAGGCAAGATTTCCCCCCCCCGCCTCCCTCCCCCCATAGTCTTAAGAGACTGTTGGGGCAAGTGCTGTTGGCGAGTAGCAACCTATGAAGGCCAACACGGCAGAAGAGGGAGGTGGGTGACCGGCGTGACGCGCGGCCACCGATGTCTTCCCAGTGCTGATGTTTTATACACACTGCACCAGGTACACACAAGCAGACGCATGATTTTAAAACTAAAAAAACAACTTTAATGTACATATACATCATTGGAGTACATAGGGACAAAAACAAAACATTCACAAAAAAAACTATGTTGAAATATGTATTAAATGACACCTCTATATAACCTCTAGACCAACGTGGCAGCTGGTTTTATATGTCTAAACAAAATTTGAGTAACTAAATTAAATTCTACACGTACCACGAAAACCGATCACAAATTATAATTCTCATAAAAGTAATCATTTCACGTGAAGGACAAATGTAACGAGACACTGGGGAATTACAGTTGGACCACAAGTAATTAAATGCGTGCAGACGGCATGAAATGTTAAGCACAGTTCAGACATATCTATCAAAAAAGTACCAACGCTTCTCGGCAGTCAACTCAACAGCATCCGTGAACATAAATAACTGAAGCCGAACCTGATGTTGTCTAGGTGTGTAATTATTCACCCTCTCCCTCCCCCTTCCTCCAAACCTCCAGCGACTTGATAAATTGTTAGGATTCTGGTTCACGATTCAATTCAAGAATAGATTTTTGTCGTCTGGTTTTGACCGTCTCGTTTTCAGTTTCGTTTGCCCCATTAGCCTAAATTTAACAATGGTACACATCACTTGCACATCATAAATGCTAGATAGATGGTTTTCACACGCGAGTCAATGCTTGTGTTGAGCTTAATACAGTATTCTCTCGTTGTTCATGAATTTTGCTATCCGCGATTTTGTCCATCTGCACATTGAAATTCTACACGACTGCATCGAGAGAGATAAAGTGATGAAATGATTCATTGATGAGCGATAAAGTGATGAGAGAGAATGTAATGTGAGAAAGTTACATAAGATAAAGTTACAATATGTTTTCGTCGGCCAATATCATCCGCAAATATTATATTCACGAGAATCTGCGGAAAGTATCCCTCGTAAATAACGAGGGAATACCGTAATCTATATTAATCGGTGAAGAGTTGCAAACTTACATGTCTAAAGAATGAATTTTTTGAAACTCATCTTGAACCACACAAGAGGCCAGTAGCTCTAGACGAGCCTATATATCCACTCCGTACACGTTTTTGCGGTTGCGCTGGAAAATAACTATCTAGCGTGTTGCTCCGCACGATGTCCGACGTTTCTGTTTATTTGCCGACAAGCTTCTTTCCGGAACTTAATTTCCCGAAGAAGCTTCCAGCACGTTGAGCGAAATGTCGTAACACCGTGCCGAACGCGACGTGCCAAAACCAACCAGACACACCACATCGGAGAGCCCATACCCCCCCCCCCCCCCACGCCGGCACGGTCACGCACGTGCTCATCGGGAACGGGGCCACACGACGTCACGGCGCTTTGCCGGATCCCACATGCAGCGCCGACATGCCGTCGGCGACCTGCTGATCCTCCGCCTTCTTCCTTGGCGTCTCCCTGGGAGCCTTCTGCGGTGGGAATGCGCCCAGGCCCCGGTGCGAGCTCATCGCCACGTCCTTGTGCCCTGCACGAGGACAGAGAAATGTGCGGCATGTTAGCAGTTGTTTGCCAAAGTCCATAAGTTAACAATAAGTCACTTAATATCTGACTGTGACATATCCACGCTTGGCCAAATTAACTGCCCACAAGGAGTGTAGTTGTTTGTGTGAAGTGCAAGTATCCTTTTTTTTATTTAGATGTTCACGTATCCGACCTTTGTTGCATATCCCCAGCGGGTCAGATATGCGACGTTTTACTGTATGAACCCATGAGAGCCTCACTGAGTCTCAAGCCTCCTTGCTTTTAGGCGAGTCCTGCTGAGGTTGCTTGGCCAATGTCTCCTATTTTTGTTTGTATTTGAATGAATGTATGTTGAATTTATTTCGCACCGTACATAGCCAACCGTGCTAATCGGAGGTGTGGTGGAAGGACAGATAGCTCACTGCAGAGATAGGTCTTTACATTGAACTTTTCGTAATAAATATGAATCCGGTACGTAATGTAAAAAGATAAAACATTTACGGGTCTTGACAGGGAGGATATAATAGAATGTGATGCTTTCGTGGCCACAAATTTTTCATTTTATTTCACATTCACAGCAATGCAGCTCTTTTATACAAATTATACCGAACAATACAGGGCAATCCATTTTTAATAGATACCTCAACGAAACTAATAAAGATACACCATAGGGAAAACAACAGTTCTTTTCAAATCCTCCTCACCAATCTCACACACATTAAAATGTTAACCCTCTTAAAAGCTTCTTAAGTGCAACCCGCCTTTTGAGTGTGAAAAAACCGAGAGGGTAATTGGATATCAGTGGAGCATCTATAAATGGATCGCCACCCTGCAAGAGAGAGGAAGGAGTACATCCGCCAGGGAGACGGAGCGATGAAATCAACGTACGACCACGATGGGGTAGCCTCGGCAGATTGGCGAGGCCATCATCCAGCAGTGGACTGACCGTGGCTGACGATGACGACGATGATGATGATGAATAAAATGGTGGGACTTCACGGCCACTCACCCGGCTGGATGGGGCGGAGAAGCCCGATCTGGCGTTCCTGCTCCATCACGCGCTCCCGCCAGCTCTTGGCGTTGCCGCGAGCATTCTCCAGCCGCGTGGAGGCCAGCTGAAAAACCACACCCCCCCCAAACGCCATGGTAAATGGCAATATTTGCTTTCATATGAGGACACACCAAAATAGCTTCAATGCTACACTTTGGCTTGATAAACAAACCAACCTAAATGGCGTTGATGAGACTAATGGGTTCCTAATAAAGTTGTAAAAAAAAAAACCTCCTCGGTGCATCTGTAATTGCTGTGCAAATGATGTCAGCTGGGTATCTGCTGTACCTGTGTTAATCCCTTGATTTTAGTAAACTCCCTTCAGGATAATATAAGCTTGTATAAGTTAAAATGATATTGGCAAGAGTATATTTTGCAGAAGGATACACTCTAGAACTACATCTCAGATTCTGTCAAATGATCTCTTATCCACTCTTAATAGTGCTATACTTTGTACCATGTGCAAAGTATAACACTTTAATTCTCAGAGCTTGTATATTTGCCAAATTTCGTGAAAACCCAAATATGGGGTTTTTTATAGTCATTGGCAGTGGTTATTTCCTTAACTGTTCCTGAAGTCTTACACCCCTTTGGTTCTAAATCGTAAAAAGATGTATGTTAATAAATCCATATGGTTTAATTAAACAAAGTCGTTGCACTTACGTGCCCGTACTTAATTTGTGTTTCGATGATTTACCTTCTAAAAAAATGTGGCCATGTCTCGCACCCCCAGAAAGGGCATCTTGCACGCCTTGGGGGTGCGTGCACCCCAGATTAAGAACCACTGGTCATTGCTAACCTGGCTGAGACAGGTGGCTGAAACCCGGATTAAATTCCCGGAGCAGTGCCCCCTCAGAGCACCGCCCGCCCACCGAGCCACCCGGCGCCACATCCAAGGTGGTCCCCGTTTCATGAACCGCTTTTACGAATCGCTTCAAGGTTGCCAAAATCCACTTCGGATTCAGTCAGAAGCCTATTTCCCGAGCAGAGCCCACTGAGCTACGCAGCGCTCTTTACCAGGGGGCGACTCGGCCGGCCAGGAGACAACAGAGCGGCGCCTCAAGTCGGACAAAAGCGGCGACCGGCGGGCAAATGGCCTTGGGAAGGCGCAGGGGGATCGGTGCGAGCGACGGCACTCACCTCGTACTTCTCCACGGCTTCGCGTCGGTCTTGCTCCAGCTGCTCCAGATGCACGACCACCGAGCGCAGCGCCAGCTCCGTGTCGTTGCGCTCCTGCTCCAGCACCCGCCGCTCCTCGCGCGCCTCCACGATGAGCTGCGTCTGCTCCTGCCTCAGCTGCTCCAGCTCCCGCCGCTTCAACCCCTCCTCCTCGAGCAGCCTGCGTGCGGGTGTTCACGCGTCTATTTCAAAAAGGCTGCTAGGGTCGGCAATACGACGAGCCGCGCGTGCGGGCAACGCGATCGCCGCGCTGCCGGTAACGCGATCGCCACCGCCGGACCTGGCCTGGTGTAATCGCGCCTGTTCCTCCTCCAGCTTGGCACGTTTCTCCACCTCCAGCGCGGCGCACAGCTGGTCGTACATCTCCTCCAACTCGCGGATGCGCCTCTGGTAGTAATGCGATTCGGCCGTCTTCTGCGCAATCTGCTCCTCCATGTCGACGCGCGCCTGTTCGTGCGAGAGGTGGGGGTGGGGGGGGGGAGGGCCAGCGTTGGTTTCGTCACTCGTCACCCCACCGTAGGAAAGAAGGGGATTGTTGTGGCTCCGTACTGCTCCGTGCACAATGGGGAGTTGTTTCTTTTCTCCCCATAGCTATGGCCAAGTCATTGAGAACAGCAGCAGAGATGCACACTTGAATTTCTCACTAATGTCCATTCATTTTCACTATTACTTAAACATACATCAACTCGTGGCAATTTAATAAATGTACATGGACATATGCATGAACATGTACAGCCCGTTTGTCAATCCACCACTCACGAGGGCCTCCCTATGCCCTGTAGGTCGTGGGGGATATTTGACCATATTTCACCACGTCAGTACAGGGTGGTGATTGTGGGGTACATCGACGTTAGATCATGGTACAGTAAAAAAAAATGTATTTCACTGTACTGTCCCTCTGCTGACAATGCAGTCCCACAGCAGCTTATGCGACTCCTGTATTGTACAGGTGGTTGCCGGTGCAAAACATTGTCCAGGCGAAATCCGGCTTAGCTGCAGGGATCATGTGAACCAATCGCATACAACTAATACAAATAACCGATTCTGTTTCGTAAGCCAATAATTGCTGTATCATTACACGGCATATAACAATCACCCTCGCAACGATTTGTGATCCTGGGGGGTCATGATTTGGGGTTATGGTTAAATTTAGGAATCTACTTTTGTTATATTCATCATCTCATTTGCATTGTTTCTTATTTGTCTGGTTTCTACCATACTGTTTTATTTACCATTAATTAGCCTAAAGGCAACAGATGCACATCACTTGCATATAATCTGTACAAAAAAAATCTAAACGAATTAATGCTCACGATCACCGCTCTGCCGCACGCATTGCAAGCGTAAAAATTCATTCAACCAACAAATCGACGCACCAATACATGTCCGCTGTCTCTTCGAGCACGGCACTGGTAACTTTATGATGTATGTTGAACTTCTTTTGCATAGTACGTAGCCAACCGTGCTTATCGGAGGGTACGGCGGGGGAAGGACAACAAACTAAACACAAAAAGCAGTTTTAAATCGAGATTTAAAAGTGCATAACTCCCAGTGGCTTCCCCATATCGGAAGGAAGAGCGTTCCAGACAGCCGCAGAAGCGCGTCTAAAAGCGACGCGCGATGCGATGACCACCGTCTTTGTTCGACAAGTGCCACGAGGCAGAGCGAGGCCGTGAATTAAGTGAACGGCACAAACCAGTTTCTCGCGCTCCAGCTCCCGCTTGTAGTGGTCCTGCATCTCCTCTTGCGAGCGCATCCGCTTGCTCTCCGCCTGCGTCGCACGCTCCTCCGCCTCCAGTCGCTCCTGTCACCCGTCGCGCACGCGCGTGGCGGTATGGATTTAGTCCGTGTTCTTAAAATTGTATTTATGTATGTACGTTGAACGTCTTTCGCACCGTACATTTTCCAACCGTGCTCATTGGATAGCCTGCAACTCCTTCTGTCTGAGTCAGTGGATTTTATTGAGTCTAATTGGTTCCTTTCAGTTATGAAATATCAGTGTGAGGGGCATGCAAATTTTTACCCCCGCAACATCATCAGATCAATCAATCGGTGAACTCAGTAAATATTTGTTATATACACATATGGACTTTCTCCGTACACTGCATCTATAATGATGTTCATAAAATCCCTTTAAGTGACCTATTATCCACAGTAGCAGCAGAGACGGAAGCGACTTGGTTCACAAAAATTAGCAACACATTGTTTCCAGGTCGAAATTATTCCCCTTTGCGCACCTGAAAAATTTGGCTAAGATGCCTATAGTGATACATAAATATCGTTCGAGGGCCATTGCAGAGCACTAGGCCTCAAATCTGCTGCGGGCCGTTGTGAGATGACGTCAAGGGCCGTAGGTTTCCCACCCCCCTTCAACAAGCGAGGCCGCCCCCCCGTTGCGGCACTACGGGGTCCCCCCCCCCCCTCCACCTGCTCGAGTCGCTTCAGCTCGCGCTGCCTGCTCTCCTGCTGCTGCTGCATGCGGTACAGCTCCTCGCGCTCCGCTTGCTTGTAGGCACGCTCCTCGCGCCACCGCTGCCTCTGCTCATGCGCCACCGAGCGCTTGCCCTCCTGCTGCATCCGCAGGGTGAGCTGGATCACTGCGGGTGGCATCCGACGCACGTCCGAAAATTGAGAGGACAGCTGTGAATATTGGCGTAGCACGGTTGGCATTGCTCTCCCGTACAATTGTTTCACCACCTTCGTAGTCCGGCGTGCCTGGGCATCCCCGGCTCGTGGGCCGCGGTGCTATTGCACCGCCTGCACACTCAATAGTTCCGAAACTTGCTTCGAGTCATTGAAAACATTGGTCCAGAAGACAAAAAGGCTGATGCTCTGCTATGTAATTTAATTCACGTTTTTCACAGTTAGACAGAAACTCCGAAGTCAATTGTTGTGTTTTGATGAGTGGCATTAGCGTTACCTCGTTTATTTACCTCTGAAGTATCTCAAGTCAAGTCAAGTATTTTCATTTAATTTATTTGGCTATTTTTTTTTTATGTTGTACCTGAAAGCCACTCTTGTCGCCTCCGAGCATCCTCTACCCCAACGTCGAAAGATTTGTCGGGGCACCTGATGACAAAAAAACATCTCCTTCCATCTCGCTCTGGGAGGACCTAAAAAACCCGACAAACACAAAGGCAGTGCACTTTAAGCAATACTACCACAGTACACGAGTATTTATTTTACATAGTTTTCAAGGTGGCAGAAAAGTAAAAAAAAACATTGAAATGAAAATAGCAAAGGAAGAAAAAATTAACAAAGTTCAGCACAGACTGACTAAATGGACTGTTTCATTTCTACTGTGTTCAACCACCACACTGTCGGTCGAATTACATTTCCTCTTCTTTCCTCGCACGACTCGAATTTTGAACTCCCTCCAATCATCTATTTTCTCGAGTTCTCAAAACCTTACTAATTTTAAGAAACATGTTATAGTTTTTGAGCAAAGTATTTTGGACCTTTGCTCAGAAACTACAATAAAAAAAACACTTGACCAGTGGCCATATCTGCACCACAAAAGGTATGCTGCTGCCTGCTGCACATTTGATTTTGCATTATCTTAAAGCAACTGAACAGTTCAACCTCTATAGGCACCAGCCCTTCCCCTTTGGGCCCCATTCCTTCCTGGTTAGGCCCTGCCTCTTTCTCTTTGGGCTCTGCTCCTTTCCTTTTTAGGCCCTGCCCCTTTAAGCCCCGCCTCACTCTGCTTAGGCTCCGCCCCTCCCCAGACACAGGATTGGACTTGTTTGGGTAGTGGTTGGTGTTGTGAAAGGGTGAGGGGGGGAGGGGGCAGTGTCTGTGTGCAGCAGAAGGCAGTGGTGGGCAGGGATAGTAGAGGTTGGAATGGGGTGGGCTTAGCGACAAGCTAAATTCCCTCTCCCAGCGGTACATTCGTAGATTAGGCAGGGTTGTGTTTTATGTTAGCTTGTTGCCATTACCTCGACAGAGCAGCCCTTTTCTAGGACGACCTCCCCTTTCTTGTCCTTCATGTCCTTGGCAGTATAGTAAGACAGGATATTGTTCCGCAGTACGAACCACCGCTCATTCCAGTTCTTCCTCTTGTGCCCCTTCTTCAACAAGTAACCCTTGATGGAAATGGACACAGTGATGCAAAATGTTTAAACGTGCTGAACTGTGAACATATAAGTGTACTTTTATTTTGCTCTATGAACACCTTCATTTGCTAATGGCGCAGCCAAGGGGAAACCACAAATTTTTTTTGAAAATGTGAACAAATTAAACTGCAGTGGTACAACGTGAATTAGTGTGCTGAAAATAACAAGGGGTGGATTCAAGAGGGATCGGCGTATGGATAGATCCTTCACAAAGCTTCCCCTTTTACCAGCTCACATATGGCACGCAAAAATTGTTCCAAACATTTTTGTGTTTAAAGTCAAAGACGAATGTGGTTATGTGGCTCAGAGGCCAGAGCACTGGGCCAACGCTGCTCAGCTCCTGCGGTCAAAACCAGGCATTCACCCGTTACTAAACCGAGTCAAGTGCACGGAGAATTTATGGTCTCAACCTATTCGGTAATGACTGCATAAATGAAATAAGCATTGTATTAACTACACAGCTATGAATTCAGCGTGACAGCATGCCAGTTCATCTTAATAACAATATTACAAACAAACAAAAAAGGCAGCACCTTTTTGGTGATGTTAAGGACCAGCTCGTTGTAAACATCATCTATCGCCAAGGCGAGGGAGGGGAAGTCGAAACCAGCTGGCAGTGGGCTCTGAAAGAGGCGGATGAACTGCCAGACTGAGATGCCCGGCCCTTCCAGGGCCTCATTCTTGCCGACCAATTCTTCAAAGTCCTGCGACCTCCAGTCCAGCCCAATAGCTTCTGCCAGCTTCTTCATCAGGGAGTCCACCTAGTGCATAGGAGCGGGAGAATCGACAGTGTCCTTCCTTAACTGCGCATACACAATCACCTGCGTGTGGAGCTCCGAGTACACGGGGAGCATCGTGGCGTCCAACACGCCAGATGACCATAAGCTTGCGCATATATGAAAATATGGGTGAATAAAATCCTATTGTGCTTTTGCACAAAAGAACCACAGACTGCAAGTATTTTATTGTTTCATTATCACACTCACGTTCATTAAAGGGTTTAATGGGAGGGGGTGTAAAATATCAGTTGTTATTCCGTTAAGAGTTTGTTGTTGTTGTCGTTGAAATGAACTTATATGTGACCCCATTCCAGTTCTGTAACCTTGCACAAATATTTATCATGCAATAATTCTTCAGTCAACAGATTTTCCATGGGGACAAGATGTTCTCTGGGTTTCAAAAATAATGTAAAAATATAAACAATGTATGTGACAACCGTAGCTTGTGGAATAAACATTCATTTGTGCCAAGAAATCCTCTTTCACAAAATGTCGTTATCCATCATTTACGTGCAGATACACACAGTGTAGTGTATTAGACCGACAAAACAACGTCACAGAAACAGTTCATAACCTCTATAGAAGCAATATTTGCCCATGCTCAACTACGTGTTTATGCGGAATACTCTCTCGCTCCCACTACCCCACCAAGTGGCATTGCTTGGCACGTTTAAAGTAAAAACAAAATGGCTTTCGATAGTCCATGTGCATCTGGGTGCAGATCAGACCATGTTACAACTGCCACTGAAAATTCGATTAGGATTATCAGCACATGTGCCAATCAGTTAAAGGGTTTTCTCCACTCCGTCACTTTCCATGGCAACATCACGTGTCGCGCTGAGGCCGCACAGCGCCCAACCACAGGGAAAGAAAAAAAAACCCCTCAGGACTAAGTCAGCAGCACAAAGAGCCTCAGTAAAGTGGGACAAAAAACGCATTTACATTTTACAGTGCTCTTTGTGAATATCGCACGCACACACACACACAAATAATTTTCATTCAAGTCATCTTTCTTCCACCATAGTGTGGTTGCATGGGTTATAGGATTAAATGCCATAACCTTCGAAACATAGCTTTCTTTTCAATTTCAGTGACATATTTTTAAAAAGAAAGCGATGCCTCTAGTGGGTAAAATGGCAAAGTAGGTTGGCGACTTTTCTGTGCCAAGTTTAGGTATGTGTGGGTGTTTAATGCGTGGTCTGGTTTACTCCCAGGCACTAAAGTCAAGTGGCCAAAAGTAAAAAAAAAAGTTCTTAATAATATTTTATACAGCACCATCCATTCAAATGACGGGCATGTAAAACGACAGACTGGCAATATGGTAGCCGCAAAACCACTGCCAACAACTGCCCAAGCTCTGTGATCCTATATTAGGATATTTGGTCAACTCCAAAGTTTCAAACCACTGCTAGTTGAAGGCCTTACCATGCCATCTTAGTCATGATGGTTGTTTGACCATACTTCACCAGCTGGACAGTGCAGATTGGAGAAGGGAAGACCCCAGGAGTGGTTCAGATGTCACTCACAACTCACGTTAACCGAGCACAGGAATCCAACTCAGGTGACCAGATTGATAGTGCAGTGTGCATACAACTGCGTCATCGCTACATAACTGTCACTTCATTATGAATCGTTCATTTTCCTTTTTTGCGATTCTCATCTTATTTTCACTAAATTTCCATAATATCCGCAGCAAGGCCAGATAACATTTAGGAAAAAAACATATACTGTATATGTAAAAAGAAAAATCTTATATTCTATTACTGAATGTCTTTTTTTCTTTAATATCTTAAGTGGATATTTGCGAGAGGTGTTAAAATCTACGATGTGGGGCGAGCGTGCCCCCGTCGCTCCCACCTCCTCGGGAACGATGACGAGAGGATACGACTCCTCCGACAGGAAGTTGAAGAGGCACCACAGGTGGAAGGCCTGCCTGTCGTCCAGACGGCTGTTACGCCGCTCCTCCACCGGGTAATTCTTCTTGGCACTGATCATCCAGCACACCTCGTCAAACTGGCTTTTGTCGAACGTGTCAGGCTTCACCTAGAAAAGACCGCGCGACGTGCAGACAATGTTGCACAGTGAGCCAGTCGTCATTTTGTGCAGGAGATGAAATTCGAGATCAAGATATCGTCAGGGCCAAAGCTGGTGATGCCTCCACACCTAAGCAATGCTTATTACCCTCTGCCAGACACAATTGGGCACTGAGAAATACCAAACATGGTAATTGGCTATTAACTGGGCTTAATTGTTCACTCGATATGTTTAATAAATGCTGCTAGGCTGGCTTGGAGTATGGATTAGAGGCATAACACACTGCCACTAAAGTACCAGGGTTTCCTTGCAACATTAATACTACGTTACCTGTCACTTATTTTAAAAAATCATATGAACACGATGGGTTCTTTTAAGGACAATGTGGTGTGCCAAAATAATTGCTGGAAAAACAATCTGGAATGTTTTGGCTGAAATTATGCACCAGCTAGAGTGAGGGAAATAAGTATTTGATCCCCTGCTGATTTTGTACGTTTGCCCACTGACAAAGAAATGATCAGTCTATAATTTAATGGTAGGTTTATTTGAACAGTGAGAGACAGAATAACAACAACAAAATCCAGAAATACGCATGTAAAAAATGTTATAAATTGATTTGCATTTAAATGAGGGAAATAATTATTTGACCCCTCTGCAAAACATGACTTAGTTCTTGGTGGCAAAACCCTTGTTGGCAATCACAGAGGTCAGACGTTTCTTGTAGTTGGCCACCAGGTTTGCACACATCTCAGGAGGGATTTTGTCCCACTCCTCTTTGCAGATCTTCTCCAAGTCATTAAGGTTTCGAGGCTGACGTTTGGCAACTCGAACCTTCAGCTCCCTCCACAGATTTTCTATGGGATTAAGGTCTGGAGTCTGGCTAGGCCACTCCAGGACCTTAATGTGCTTCTTCTTGAGCCACTCCTTTGTTGCCTTGGCTGTGTTTTGGGTCATTGTCATGCTGGAATACCCATCCACGACCCATTTTCAATGCCCTGGCTGAGGAAAGGAGGTTCTCACCCAAGATTTGACGGTACATGGCCCCGTCCATCGTCCCTTTGATGCGGTGAACTTGTCCTGTCCCCTCATCAGAAAAACACCCCCAAAGCATAATGTTTCCACCTCTATGTTTGACGGTGGGGATGGTGTTCTTGGGGTCATAGGCAGCATTCCTCCTCCTCCAAACACGGCGAGTTGAGTTGATGCCAAAGAGCTCCATTTTGGTCTCATATGACCACAACACTTTCACCCTGTTGTCCTCTGAATCATTCAGATGTTCATTGGCAAACTTCAGACGGGCATGTATATGTGCTTTCTTGAGCAGGGGGACCTTGCGGGCACTGCAGGATTTCAGTCCTTCACAGCGTAGTGTGTTAGCAATTGTTTTCTTGGTGACTATGGTCCCAGCTGCCTTGAGATCATTGACAAGATCCTCCCGTGTAGTTCTGGGCTGATTCCTCACCGTTCTCATGATCATTGCAACTCCACGAGGTGAGATCTTGCATGGAGCCCCAGGCTGTGGGAGATTGACAGTTCTTTTGTGTTTCTTCCATTTGCAAATAATCGCACCAACTGTTGTCACCTTCTCACCAAGCTGCTTGGCAATGGTCGTGTAGCCCATTCCAGCCTTGTGTAGGTCTACAATCTTGTTCCTGACATCCTTGGAGAGCTCTTTGGTCTTGGCCATGGTGGAGAGTTTGGAATCTGATTGATTGATTGCTTCTGTGGACAGGTGTCTTTTATACAGGTACCAAGCTGAGATTAGGAGCACTCCCTTTAAGAGTGCTCCTAATCTCAGCTCGTTACCTGTATAAAAGACACCTGGGAGCCAGAAATCTTTCTGATTGAGAGGGGGTCAAATACTTATTTCCCTCATTAAAATGCAAATCAATTCATAACATTTTTGACATGCATTTTCTTGATTTTTTTGTTGTTATTCTGTCTCTCACTGTTCAAATAAACCTACCGTTAAAATTATAGACTAATCATTTCTTTGTCAGTGGGCAAACGTACAAAATCAGCAGGGGATCAAATACTTTTTTCCCTCACTGTATATACACATTAAAATACATTTACAGAGAACAATAATGAGCCGACCTGATGATATTGGTGTTGGGGGGGGGGGGATTACACACCCCTCACACCAACATTTAATCACCACGAGTGGACAAATCTTTGACTGTTTTAGTGGACTAGACAAGGAGAATTAAAACCACAGACTAAGACTTTGAGTAATGTTCTCAGGCCGGTGTGTCACAGAGAATGTCCGTTCCTCTATACTATGCATCGTAACTCCAATGCGAGTTTTTTTTTTACTTTAAACTTTCGTGACTGCAGGAATTCATATTCTTGGTTCTTTTGGTAAAGTCACGTCCGTCTGATGAAGACCGCTTGTGTTGCGATCGAAACGTCATGGTTTTTTTTGCTTTTATTATTTTAAATTTGTTCTTTTGATTTGTATAATTTTTATTTTTTTCCAAGAGGAAAGGTACGAAAGAATGCAATTCTCAACTAATGTGAAGCAACCCATGACTTAGCAGGAACAACTGGTAAGGTGAACCTCAGGCAGCAAGGACGCACATTGAACTGTGCTTCAATTAATTCATGTATTTTAAAAAGGTACCGTGTTTAGCACTGTTGTTTCCTGTTCCATTCTTAACAAGCCAACCATTAAATGCTGTCGAACACAAATGCACAGTCCCGTTGCGAACAGCGAACACACTGCTGGAATTAGGCCTCCCCATGCTGTGGTGATCACGGAGGGTTGTTTTTCCATTGCTTGATGACCATGCTGGCCAATGTGGGTTGGTGAAGGGTTGGGGGGAGAGACACTAAGACCGGTTTTGGATATAACTCGCTACTGATGTCGGCCCATGGTCGGGAATCGAACTCGGCTCACCAATGTCGTAGTACATCTGCAAACTACGGCACTTACTGCCCCACCCCAAATACCGCTAATAGTACACGTGGCATACACAAACCTTTTGTTTGTCCGCTGCTAGATGAGGGCCTATCGTCATGGGGGTTGTTTGACCCCACGTCACCATGCTAGTCGTTGCGGATTGAAGGCATAATTCAGTATCACTATTCAATCTTACATAGCAAATTAATGACAACCCTTTTGTTTTTTAGATGTTTTCCTCAGAGTGCGCAACAGATACACAATGTTTGCAATGCGGAAATGTAGCCGACGCTGCAATATTTTTGGGCAACGCGCACCAGATACAAACTCAACAAAACTAACGGCTACGTAAAATCCCACACTTACGTGTAGCGGTCAAAGCGATGAATTATTTGCATTTTTTCTTTACCTCCGCTCAATTCAAACGGAGCTCACACTTTATCAGCCAAAGGCACCACACGTGCTTTTTCCACGCTCGAGTGGAGGAAGATGCAAGATTACACATGTGCGTGTACCAATGCCTCTCTGCGGTGCACTGTGCAGCTGTGAGTTATGGGCAACGTTGATTATTAACGGCGATATGGAATGGAAAACCCACATTTTCTACAAGACACCTGCGGAGTTCCGTGTTACCACTCCCAACACAGATGACACAGCTCAGAACCATCATGCAATCATTTACACGCGATAGATTAACTGGGGAGAAAAACCCCCCCCCAAAAAATGCTGCCACCAAAGAAGAGAACTGTATGCCTGGTATTCTAAAGCCTGCTGTGTGTAGAAAATGCTAAGCAGATGCAATTTTAACAAAAGCCATTACAAACGTGACATTTGTGCATGACTTGCATGCGTCCTACACCAAGAATTACCAACCCCCGTGCAGGCACATGAAACCTGAAGTTAAGCATTAGCCTTGCAGCCATTTCTGTGAAATGCTTTCACAGAAGAGAAAGGTTGATCCACCAGAATCTGTAGCACTAAGAGATACGATGCAACCCGGATTTTGCTAGCCATCTAAATTCTGCGGCATCTCAAGATTCTGCAATGAAAACAGTACCTTTTCCCCAGCATCGCCATACTCGCAATTTGATTAACTGTCACGATTCTGGCTTGGGATTTGAAGCTAGAATTGTTTGTAAATCTAGGAGACGCTCTTGTATTATATCAAAGGTCATGCTAACCCAACGCATGTAAGATATATGAATGGAAAATAATCGATGAACACGTACACGACTCGATGCATGTATTATGAAATTGAAAAGACAAATGTATGCATTGTTTACACCGCCAAATTTCCATATACTCCAGTATCCCATTAAACCGCTTGTATGAATCTATAAGTCAACAGCTGTTATGAGTACTTTGTAATAGGCGACCACATGTTTGGTAATTTATCAATCAACCAGTGTTGTAAATTGAAAAAAAGGGTATCACCAATAACTCAAGCTGTAAAGTCAATTTCCTTTCCACAAAAATGTTAAGCACACATGACTGGACATCCCAAGAGGAAGGCGATTTTCCGCATGACCTTTGCAAAAACATTTGCGATGACTAAACCGTAGCTTCCTTCCGTCCCACTGGCGATGTCTGCTGACTAACAAGAAAGATGAGTATAGCATTAGATTTCCTGTTCAATTACATTCAACCAAGACGACTGACAATAGATATTTCAATGCATTGGGTCTAAAGCCAAGGTCAGCATATGGAATAACGTTCACTTTTTCTTTTTAAATCAAAAGCAGAGTGGAGCTACATATTCAAACTGAACAAGGATGCACCCATATTGCCCCCCCAATAGCAAATGCCTCCTGCAAGATTTTAGCAGTCGGCATACCCCAACACCGCCTTCCTCTTTATGTGGGTTGATGAAGGGAGGCGTTGGGAGGATTCTCTTGAAAGTGGAATTAATAGCCCAGGCACGTATATGTGAATAGCTGCTCGCATTTGTGAGCGGTCCAACTGGGCGGTGGGGTCAATCACAAAGCAAAGCAAAAAGCACCGCTCTCTCTGCCCGTTTTAACAATTCAACGTTTAGCTGGGCACGAAGCGCCAGAGGTTTGCAACTCCTGCTCTCGGCAAAATAAGGTGAAACTAAAGTGTGGCGAAGAAAATTAAATGATATAAAGCTAGACTTATGTAGGCCAGAAATCAGGGTTAGCTGAAAAGGCTCACGAAATGTTGAATATTTAAGCGAAGTAGAATATGGTGTGTGCGCACTACCAATTCTAAGCGCTTTAATATTCTGTTGTATGGGATTCATTGAAACGTATATATACAATTTTAAATAATCGGTTATATGTTAAGTATTACTTAAATGTATTCTTTGGGTCTTTCGGTAAAGTCATGTAGAGATAGGTTTAAAGAAAATAACAACCTATTTACGTGACTTCACCGAAAGACCCAAAGAATATGAATTCCTGCAGTCACGAAAGCTTTAAGTCAAGATTTATTACTTAAATGTATTGGGTATTACTTGTGTGATTAAAACTTGGAATTAATCATTCATTATTTGCAGTATGTCAGACATCCCATGTAACGGGAAGGGCTCATGCAACAATTAGTCCAGAATCGAGACGTATTACCAGGCCAGGCAGGTGGATCAGCAGTGGAGAAAGCGGCTCGTGATTGCAAGGTTGAAAATTGCTATCCTGGTGGGGGGGGGGGGTGGGGGCGGGGTTGACTCAGCCCATCATCCCTCTAGAGTGAATAAAATTAGTACCACTTTGCAGAGAAATTTACAGTGATTGTCTGATGGGATAGACTTGGACCCATCACAGAAATGTAGAATTTCCACCACTGCCTCAGGGCTCTACACTGGAGACAGGAGATGAGCAACGCCTCAATGCTCATTTCAGCAGGAGATTGCTTTCACTTTTGACCTGCTCTTTATGTTCAACTTATTTTGCACCGTACATAGCCAACCGTGCGGGGGATACAAACAGCATACACCTGCAGGACTGAGGGAGTGGGGGGTGTGGGTGGCTCTTACCTTGTCCAGGATGTAGGTGTTGAGGTATGGCATGTATCCATGGCTGGATACAGGGCCCTGGTCGTCATCTCTGAAGTGCTCCTCCAGCGCCACGGGGTCGTGCGGCACATGCAGCACCGTGCACAGGTTGTGCGACAGCACCTGCGTGGCACAACAACGGCGGTACAGGAGACCGCAACCGTTCATCACGCTCGTCACAATACCGGCGCCCATCGCCAGTGCTGGAACACGCTTGAAGCAGACTTCTTTCCCCAATTTTGAAAGGGGTCTGGGCTGTTTCATCGTAGGGCCTGCGGGTTGGTCCATTAAAAGGGATTCTGCTACGGCGCAATGAGCTTGCAATTCCAGAGGTCACCGTGTTCGATTCAATCTCCCGGAGTGACAGTTGAAACAATGTGGGATTTTCTCAAATCCCCCATCCCGCCTTTGTCCACCCAGCAACATGAATGGATACGCCACAGTTAGTCGATTGGCAGGTCAATCGGGGTAGAGCAGAGCGCGGGTATCCCCACCTCTTCCGAGATGTCTGGCCAGCATTAAAAAGTGGGCCAAATACTCTATAGAGGGGCTCTCTAGAGCCACCAGCAGTGAGTGGCCTGAGCAAGACATTAGAGGGATGCACATTTACATTTTTTACTTTTGGGCGCAGTGGTGCTGCTGTGGTTCGCACACTGCCTTTATGAGAACCTGGCCACCCAAGTTTGAATCCCTGTCACGGCTAACATCAGTGGCAAGTGGTATCTGAACCGGTCCTGGGTCCCGCCCCCCCTTCACCAACCGTCACTGAGCAGCGTGATGTACGGTCAAACAACCCTCATAAGCAACATGGTTGTGGGGAGGCCTGATAGTGGATTCACGATAATTGTCAGAAACATTTGTAGCTCAATTCAAGTATTTGTCAAATATTTTGCTCGGTAGGCACGAAGGACCGTGTCTGTTTTGATGCGTTTTTGACGCGTTTTCGCCATTTTGTTCAGAACTTGGCCCTTGAAATTTTGGTCAAGTTTAAGCAATTCATATTAACAAGCCCACTGCTGAAAGACACGAAATGACGCCAGGGCTTGTTACATGTCAGTCATTATGCCTCCACAAAGTTCAAAGTCTACCATTCCTACTAGTCAATAGACGCGTTCTATGTAGTATCATTTGGCCAATTTATATTTTTTTATTTTAAAAAAATTGGGAGTGTGATAAGATCAACAGTGGGCCTATGCGAGAATTGCCATTTTAGCACGACAGCGCTAAAATTGCAGTTCAATAACGCAAATCAAAGTCCAGGGTAAGCAGCGAATTGGCAGGTTGAGTAATCAATAAACAGACTTAGGAAAGGGGTTTCTGTAATGGCTCCGGAGTGGATATTACAAAAAGCCACTTGTGAAAAAACCTAATCACAAGACTATTGAAAAAAAGAACTTCAAGTCATTGTGAGATTTTTACCCTTGGTTTCATTTGTAAAACATGTCGCGGCAATGGGGTTTTTTTTTCCGAGATGTCTGGCCAGCATTAAAAAGTGGGCCAAATACTCTATAGAGGGGCTCTCTAGAGCCACCAGCAGTGAGTGGCCTGAGCAAGACATTAGAGGGATGCACATTTACATTTTTTACTTTTGGGCGCAGTGGTGCTGCTGTGGTTCGCACACTGCCTTTATGAGAACCTGGCCACCCAAGTTTGAATCCCTGTCACGGCTAACATCAGTGGCAAGTGGTATCTGAACCGGTCCTGGGTCCCGCCCCCCCTTCACCAACCGTCACTGAGCAGCGTGATGTACGGTCAAACAACCCTCATAAGCAACATGGTTGTGGGGAGGCCTGATAGTGGATTCACAATAATTGTCAGAAACATTTGTAGCTCAATTCAAGTATTTGTCAAATATTTTGCTCGGTAGGCACGAAGGACCGTGTCTGTTTTGATGTGTTTTTGACGCGTTTTCGCCATTTTGTTCAGAACTTGGCCCTTGAAATTTTGGTCAAGTTTAAGCAATTCATATTAACAAGCCCACTGCTGAAAGACACGAAATGACGCCAGGGCTTGTTACATGTCAGTCATTATGCCTCCACAAAGTTCAAAGTCTACCATTCCTACTAGTCAATAGACGCGTTCTATGTAGTATCATTTGGCCAATTTATATTTTTTTATTTTAAAAAAATTGGGAGTGTGATAAGATCAACAGTGGGCCTATGCGAGAATTGCCATTTTAGCACGACAGCGCTAAAATTGCAGTTCAATAACGCAAATCAAAGTCCAGGGTAAGCAGCGAATTGGTAGGTTGAGTAATCAATAAACAGACTTAGGAAAGGGGTTTCTGTAATGGCTCCGGAGTGGATATTACAAAAAGCCACTTGTGAAAAAACCTAATCACAAGACTATTGAAAAAAAGAACTTCAAGTCATTGTGAGATTTTTACCCTTGGTTTCATTTGTAAAACATGTCGCGGCAATGGGGTTTTGGCACCGATGGACACCACCGCACGCGGCAGTCAGTGTGACTTCACAACAGGAAAGCTGCTTCTGGTGAGCACAGCCAATTTCAGTACAACGCCTCTCCTATTTCCTCTCCAAGTTTTCCACAACTCCCACCACTGCCTTCCCACAATAAGATTAAATTAATCATGAAGCTGGGGGAAAGTCTCTGACGGCCCGTGCCCATTGGGTGTTTGCTTTGCAAGGTGTTACTAAAAAAAAAACCTGTTTTTACAGTCACACATTCTAGAACACACCCTTATCCCAGGCACCAATCATGAAAAGGCAAGACCACAAGGTATAAATCAACACACCGCAGGTTTAAACACACGTAATTCCACGTCATAAAAAAATGGCTCCATTGGCCACCTGCCTGTACACAATTGCTGACTTATCGCAAACCATACCAAAGGCCCAAAAAAATGCTTATCGCAAAAGATTGCATGGCAATTTTGTTGACAATATGAATACGTCTAACACCTAGGGCAATCACTGAGCGTGAATTTGGTTCAAAACAATTAGGGATCAGAATAAGAGCAGCATAGAGAGTGTATTCGGAACTTTGAGCATGATAGTGTGCTCTGATTCAACTTACCTGGGAAGCTGTGCAGGTGGGTAGAGTAGTGCTCATCATAGGTGCTCGCTAAAAGCACTGTGTGCCAACAGTCAACGTTGGCTATAGGAGGAATATTTTGCCTTTTGTCTGTTTGCTTAATAAACCTACCAGCAAACGTTTATCAGTACTTTGTAATCTCATTCTAATTAGTCAGAAAAACAACACGAGAGGCATACCTTAAATTTGGATGATCTTCCCACATGCGGAGTCTGGCAATTATGTCCCCTCAGATAACCATCAAATTCAAAGATCTCCCTCGGGTTGCTCATGCCCATCATTATTGATCCGTTCAAATCCACGTCCTTAGCTTTCAATTGATGAAACATAAAAATCTAAAGGGATGCCACTTACATATTTTCGTATAGGTGCCGAGGTTTGGATTGGGCTTAGGAGTTAAGGACTGCAGTGCCTAAGAGTGCTTTATTTGCCCTGCATTTGTGGGGACAGTAGCCATATTTACATACCTATCAACCCTTATCAGTGCCTACCTTATTACAGCCCAATTCAGACCTTATTGGTCACCCCGTGCCCTTATAAATCTCAACGTTCATCCTACAAAGTCCCATCACAAGGGAGAAACACAAACAAAGACAAATAAAATGTTTGCCCGTATTGAAACGGCTGTACGCTAGACCTGAAAACTCAATTTCCCTGTACAAGAATACGTGGTAAACCGTATGGGGTTGGCAGGTACGTATTTATATTTGTAACAATATCACAGCGCTGAATGACCAGAACTTGTTTTCTTGCAGTCAAGTGCGCCGGTACGTCAGATAAAAGTACAATGCTGCTTATTTTGCACTTACGATAATCACGCTAACCTTTCTATTAAGCCAAAGACAGATTGACAAATAGCCACCACCATCACCACCCTCCATTATCGCTCGGGTTGCCATACATACAGAATGACTGTACCATGGACAGTACATATTTTTAATACGAAATAAATAATTTGGTAATACAGTACTGCGTTTGTCAGCGGTTAAGATAATAACTAAAACTGAACACATTCGTCAACAACACTTAAAAGGAGAAAATATATCAGTCACGCTACAGGAAATGGCCATTCATAGCAAACAGAGACGCCTCAGAGGATGAAAGTCGGAGACTGAACTTTGTAACTTGGGGCCTGAAATAAAAGTAAAAAAATGTTTCCTGATCAACCGTTTTTAAATTGGCCGATGAATAATTGTATATTATTAACTAATTCAGTAACAAACACAATTCAATAACCAAACAGTATAGATTTAAAGCTTTTCGTGACTGCAGGGATTCATATTCTTGGTTCTTTTCTTGCTGTGGTTTTCACACCTGATGAAGATTGCTTGTGTTGCAGTCGAAACGTCGTGAGAATTTTATTGTTTTATATTTTAATTATTTTATTGTTTCCCTTCTACGTGACTCCTGCATCCCAGGTGAGGTTGTTTCTGAGCAAAGGTCTCACAACATTAGTGTTTACAACTCTTTAAATCGTTTGCATGATTTGACGTAGTTTTTCAAAACACCTACGTTATTTGTCAGAATATATGACCTTTAAGTACAGTACAACAATTTTGTGGGTGGATCTTTGGCCATGTTGTGTTACATTCATAGTTTTAAACCCCGAATTATCATGTTTGTGTTGTATATAAACTGCACAGCCATAGAAATACCAGCTTTATGTGCAAGTGCCAAGGTAGATAACATTGCGGGTATGTGAAAGATGGCAGTGGCTTGATGATGATGGCGTATATCACATCACAGTACAGTACTGTAACACAGTGTCTACCGCTAATCTTCTGAGCTGCATTCTTTTACACTGCGAAAATTTCACCACCCAACGTTTCCAGCAATAGCCCAGGGGCAAGAAGGAACGTTTGAACAGCTATGAAAAAAGTATCCAAGTGTTGGTTGTATATTGGCAATATATCAATGCCATTCGGTCATGCTTTTTGTTTTAGGTTTCTCAGTACATTGCCGCAACATGTCGTCAGCAGTGTCGAAGAAGAGCGAACAATACGATGCACTACAAGTGTCAACAAACGTATGAACCTTGTACTGTGGACCCTATGAATACTACTACAAGT